TTGGCAACAAAACGGGCCCTATGATTATGGGTAAATTTTTTAAAGTGACATAATTTTTTCCAGGGAATAGTTCCTACTTAAAACTCAATTATAGGGAAAGTAAGAAATTTGTAACTTCTAACCTTATTTGTTTTGCCTACTTATTAAGTAAACATTAAAAATGAACCCAAGTTTGATAAAAACTGAATATCCATGATGTACTAAGTAGAAGTTTTGTATGATGCCACTTTTTAAACAAGTCCACTGATACAGATTAACTGCATAACTGATGAAGAAGTAGATGAGTAAACTTTTAAGAAGCACTGAAATAGTATAAACCTTAGCTCAAGTAACTAAACTTCTTAATCTGGTTATGTAAATATGCCGTCAAAATTATATTTATAGTCATTTTAACAGACTCAGTGGCTAATTTATATCTTAATAGATTCATTCAATAGCTAATTTAAATGTTTCAAGGAAAATAGTTACTTGCTATGAAGGCTTAATTCATTTCACTAATTTAAGGTAATGAACTTTAGGACATTTCCCTTTTAATGTAAATGTCATCAATAATATATCAGATAACTGTTTGCCCTCATAGTTTTTAGGTGGGAAATTTAAAGCTTACTTTACCCATGAAAAAGATGAAATGAGCTATTAGCATTCTTTGGTTTCATACCACTTTGTTCTACACAGGTTTTCAATATGATTGAGATGTCCCTTGTAAGGATCAACTGTTTCCTTAGAACTGAATTTCTAAGGGTCAGTTTAATAGAATTCATCCTACTATTCTACAAACCCAAAAAAAAAAAAAAAAAAATCACTCCAAATAAGTATAATTTTGTTACTATAAACTGTCTGCTTTAAATGACGGCAGATTTAATAAAGAATCCAAACAACTTAATAGCTCAAGTGAAATCTGAAACTTGCTCATTCAGAATTTGTTAACCTATTTCCAACCACCTGAGCATCTAGAATATTAAGAGGTGAAGGATGATACTAGAGTTAACTGTTGGGTATCTGCCCAGGGAAATAGGCTGAAGACGTGGAAGGGAGGACTGCAGGTTTGGAAGATGTCTGTAATGCTCCCAGAGTGCCATCTTTCTGATGGTCTGCAAATAAGGACAAAAAATTCACACTCAGTTAAGTCTTCAACAGTTAATTAAAGCACAGCGTACAAAGCTCAGTTCAGAAATGTCTGCTCACCTGAACTGCTAAATAGATTCTGGCTGAGTCCACGTAAAGGAATGCTATCTTCCCTTTTCTTCAAGTATTTGGATTCCAGCCCTAGATTTTCACCACTTAAAAGTAAAATAGTAATTAATTATTTTCTATTTACTAACAATGTTAAAGGTTTATCCAATATATATGTATACAGGTTGAGCATCCCTAATCCAAAAATCTGAAACACTCCAAAATCTTAAACCTTTTGAGTATTTATGATACTACAAGTGGAAAATTCTACATGTGATCTTGGGACAGGTGAGTTATAATGCAGGTGCACTAAATGTTCTGTACAAATTTAGTCTATGTGTAAAAGGATATTCTGTTGAGATCTGGGTCCCTTCCCCAAGATAACTTGTTTTATATATATGCAAATATTCCAATATTGGAAAAAATCCCAAATCCAAAACACTTGATCCCAGGTATTTTAAGAAAGGGGTACTCAACCTATACCATATTATTAAATTTAAAGCTTAAAACTGTTCAGGGGCTGTGGTGTAGTGGGTAAAGCCACTCAATACAGTGCCAGTATCCCATATGGGTTCTGTTTGGAGTCCTGGCTGCTCCACTTCTGATTCAGCTCTCTGCTATGGCCTGGGAAAGCAGTGAAAGATGGCCCAAGTTCTCAGAAACCCCTGCACTCTCATGGGGACCCAGAAGCTCCAGGCTCCTGGCTTCGGATCGGCCCAATTTCGGCCACTTCTCCCCTTTCTCCCGCAGGGAGTGAACTAGCAGATGGAAGACCTCTCTGCCTCTTCCTCTGCAAGTCCACCTTTCAAATAAATAAATTGGAAAAAAGTAATGTGCTAAAAAAAATTTTCTTCAAATGATATTCAATACTGGATTTTTAAGCAAATAATAATTTATGTAAAACCAAGGTATTCTTCCCAGTAGTAAACTAAAAATTATAAAAGCTAGGATAAGGACTGTGAGAGAAATGAAAATTCTGAGTACTATAAAATTTATAGTTGCACAGAAGTGGTAGATGATGGAAAAATGTCTTGAATATTACTAGTTACTTAATTTCTGTCATCCTATATTTAAAATTTTGCTTTCCTTTGATCAAAAGCTCAACAAACTATTACAGTGCTTCAAAATGGTCATGATCTAATAGCAATACATATGGCACAGTAATGAACTGTGGTCAAGTGAATACAATGTGGAATTTTGGAGAAACAATGAACATTTCTACATTTTGCCCCTTTCTCCCATGCATTCTTTCTCAACCTGTTCAGTGTCAACAGCTTGTCTAGTAGTATACTTGCAAGTATACTACTTTTTTGCTCCTGCAAAATGATTACATTCTTGAAATGAAAAGATGGTTTTTTCTAATATTAAGAAAATAGGTTGGTGAATTTTTTTAAACCTTTTATACCCATTGTCAGATTTTGCTACCTGACAACAAATAAAAGAACAAGTTCTAAATAGAAAAAAAATTAATTTTTAAAAAAGATTTATGGGGCCAGCGCTGTGGCATAGTGGGTAAAGCCGCTGCTTGCAGTGCCAGCATCCCATATGAGCGCCAGTTCGAGTCCTGGCTTTACCAATCCATCTCTCTGCTATGGCCTGGGAAAGCAGCAGAAGATGGTCCAAGTCCTTGGGCCCTGCACCTGTGTGGGAGACCTGGAAGGAGCTCCTGGCTTCAGATCAGTGCAGCTTCGGACATTACAGCTATTTGGGGAGTGAATCAGCAGATGGAAGACCCCCCCCCCCCCCAGTACCTTTCTGTAACTACCTCTCAAATAAATAAATCTTTTTAAGAAAAAAAATACAGTATTTATTTGAAAGGCAAAAAGAAAAAAGATCTGCCATCCATTTCTTCACTCCCTAAATGTCCACAATAGCTGGCCTGGGCCAGGCTGAAGCCAGGAGCCTAGGACTCTATCCGGGTCTCCTACATGGATGGCAGAGGCCTAAGTACTCTTGGGCCATCTGCTGCTGCATTCCCAGGCACATTAATAGGGAGTTCAACTAGAAGCAAAGCAGCCTGAACTCAAACCATTGCTCTGATAGGGGATGCTGGTGTTGTCAGCAGCAGCTTAACCTGCTACATACACCACAACACCAGCCCCTGAATAGTCTTGATTTTATGCACAGATAATTATGTTTGTGTGAGTATCACATTTTCTGCTTATAGAATTGTACTGGGGACATACATTGGGTGTAGCAGTTAAGACCCTCCTTGGGATGCCTATATCCCATATTGGTATGCCTGGGTTTGTTTCCTGGCTCTGGCTCCTGACACCAGCTTCCTTCCAATGTAGAGCGGTGATAGCTCAAGTGACTGGGTTCCTGCTACCCATGAGGGAGACCCAACCAAGTTCTGAACTCCTGGCTTCATTCAACCTGGCCCAAATCCAGCATTTGGGGTACGGACCAGCAGATGAGAGATGGTGTGTGTGTCTGCCTTTTGAATAATCAACTTAATTTAAAAATAATAAAGTTCCTCTTGATTTGTGATAAATACTTTAAATAAAAACTATGCGGTTCTATTTTTTTTATTACTATTTAACAGGTATAGTTATAGACAGTGAGAGAGAGAGAGAGAGAGAGAGGGCTTCCTTCCGTTGGTTCACCCCACAGTGGCTGCCACAGCTGGCGCTGCGCTGATCCGAGGCCAGGAGCCAGGTGCTTCCATCCTGGTCTCCCATGCGGATGCAGGCACCCAAGCACCTGGGCCATCCTCCACTGCCCTCCCGGGCCACAGCAGAGAGCTGGACTGGAAGAGGAGCAACTGGGACCAGAACCCAGTGCCCATATGGGATGCCGGCCCCACGGTTCTATTTATATGAGGTTCCAACTGCTTTGCCTCATGAACCGTGTGAAGTTAAATACAACAAATATATACAGTTTAAGACCTCAAAGAGTTCTAATCTTTTTTTTTTAAAGTGAAGCTCACAAATATTAATAATTTTAATACTTATCCTGGTGGCAATTTCAGAAGATTCGATGAATAAATGCTAGAGAGCTGTTTAAGAACCCTCTGTGGGCTCTAACAGTAATTTATGTGCAATCTATTGGGATGGTGATGGCTCATGATAATGAGAGTCAGCAAGCAGGTCTTACAGCTCTTAAGTTTTAAGTGAACAAGGAATTATTTTTTTTTTTTAAATTACAAATGTGAAGACTATCCAAAGAGGGGTTTCCATGTATTAGCTGTTTTAATTTATTCATAAGTTTGAGTCACTATGTAAAACCTGCTTACAGCCCAAAAATAGGGAAGGAATCTCTAAGCCAGCAAAACAGAGTTACAAATTGACATTAGTTTATGTCATCTTTGAGTAACCTCGCAAACCTTTTACTTACCTTCACCATATGGTTTCTTAGATGATTTTACAATGGAAGCAATACATTAGAGAGCTTCCAGGGTTTATACAGCCATACAGAAAAACAAAGATGACTGTGAGGAAGATTTTTATAGGCATGCACAGTAATACTTAAAAGGCCGATCTTCAGTAATGTAAGGAAATCCCATCACAAAGAGTTTACAGTATGTCTGAAGGTATCCCACAGTGTAAAAGAACACACCAGAAACCTTTCTTAGAGCTAAAAGGGCTGTAATCCCACTAAGCAGCAACTTAAAGTATGTCAGATAAATAGGGGTCACTGTAACTCTCCAACTTAAAAAATGAAAATGCTTTAAGATGACCTTCAACATTGAAAACATTACAGTTCATGTCAGTAAGTACATACTTTTCCTTATCAGTTGAACAAGGCACACTAATGGTTGCTCCTGACTGAACATCTCCTAGCGATGTATTTGGTTTGGTAAACTGCAAGTTAAACTGTACCTGTGAAGACAGAAAATATTTCATGTGACTGAATTATTGAGAACTGAGACAGTTCCACACTGACATGAATGCTTCAATGTGTAAATAAAAATAATTTTTTTTTTTACTTTTTTTTTTTTTGACAGGCAGAGTGGATAGTGAGAGAGAGAGACAGAGAGAAAGGTCTTCCTTTTGCCGTTGGTTCACCCTCCAATGGCCGCCACGGCTGGCTGGCGCGCTGTGGCCAGCACACTGGGCTGATCCGATGGCAGGAGCCAGGTGCTTCTCCTGGTCTCCCATGGGGTGCAGGGCCCAAGCACTTGGGCCATCCTCCACTGCACTCCCTGGCCACAGCAGAGAGCTGGCCTGGAAGAGGGGCAACCGGGACAGAATCCGGCGCCCCGACCGGGACTAGAACCCGGTGTGCTGGCGCCGCTAGGTGGAGGATTAGCCTATTGAGCCGCGGCGCCGGCCAATAAAAATAATTTTTAAAAATATTTATTTATTTTATTTGAAAGGCAGAGTTACAGAGAGGCAGAGAGAGAGAGGAAGATAGAGCTTTTGATCTGCTGGTTCACTCCCCGGATGGCTGCAACAGCCGGAGCTGCGTCAATCCGAAGCCAGGAGCTTCTCTGGGTCTCCCACATGGGTGCAGGAACCCAAGGACTTGGGCCACCTTCCACTGCTTTCCCAGGCCACAGCAGAGAGCTGGATCAGAAGTCGAGCAGCTGGGACTCAAACTGGCGCCCATATGGAACGCCGGCACTGCAGGCAGTGGCTCTACCTGCTATGCCACAGTGCCGGCCTCTAATAAAAATAATCTTACCTCTCCTTACCAAAAAAGTAAGTTTCTTTTTTTCCTTTTTGAAGATTATTTATTTGAAAGTTAGAGTTACAGAGAAAAAGAGAGATCTTCTTCTGCTGGTTCACTCCCCAGATGGCTGTTAATAGCCAGAGCTGGGCCAGGCAGAATCCAGGAGCCAGGAGCTTCATCTGGGTCTCCCACATGGATGGCAGGGGCCCAAACAGTTGGACCATCCTCTGCTGCTTTTCCCAGGCCATTAGCAGGGAGCTAGGTTGGAAGTAGAACAGCTGGGACTTGAACCAGCACCATATGGGATGCTGGCACTGCAGACAATGACAACGCACTGTACCACAGTGCCAGCCCCCAAAATGTAAGTTTCTGTCATAGAAGCAAGCTGAATACCACGAAATGATTCCCCTAAAAATTACTTTGAAAACAAAAACATGAACACTAAAACATGCAAGTTTGTTACATAAAAAAAATTTATCTCATGCATTCTGAAAATTCTATCTTGTAAAGAACTTTCCAAGCTTGTTATATATATATATATATATATTTTTTTTTTTTTTTTTTTTTTTGACAGGCAGAGTGGACAGTGAGAGAGAGAGACAGAGAGAAAGGTCTTCCTTTTGCCGTTGGTTCACCCTCCAATGGCCACCGCGGCCGGCGCGCTGTGGCCGGCGCACTGCGCTGATCCGATGGCAGGAGCCAGGTGCTTTTCCTGGTCTCCCATGGGGTGCAGGGCCCAAGCACTTGGGCCATCCTCCACTGCCTTCCCGGGCCACAGCAGAGAGCTGGCCTGGAAGAGGGGCAACCGGGACAGAATCCGGCGCCCCAACCAGGACTAGAACCCGGTGTGCCGACGCCGCTAGGCGGAGGATTAGCCTAATGAGCCGCGGTGCCGGCCCAAGCTTGTTAAATTTCTTTAAGGATTTTAAATTAGGTCTTCAAATTTAAATTTTGAAATACTCAAAAGTAATCAACAATCTATGTAAAAATCCAAAAAAACAGCATATAAACTACTATAGTTTATTTAAATAATGGAAGGAGTAGGTGTTTAGCATGACAGAAAGATACCCAGTTAAGATGCCTGCATCCCACACTGAAGTCCCTGGGTTGGATTACTCCAATTCCAGCTTCCTAACAGTATGGATCCTGGGAAGCAACAGGGAAGCTCAAGGGATTGGACTGGGTCTCTGCCATGCAAGAGACCTCAGTGTTTCCATCTCCTGTCTTTGGCCCACCTCTGACCACTGCCGGCATTTGAAGAGTGAAACAGTGATGGCAGCTGTTTCTCTCCATGTTTCTGCTTTTCAAAGAATAATTTTTAAAAATTTATTTTTCTATACAAACAGAAAAGACAAAACAACAACAAAAATCCATTTATGGTAAAAACTCAAAATAGGAATAGGCACATGCTGGCTTCATATGATAAAATTATAAATTAGAAAGATATATGCTGTTATATTTAACTATTGAGATTAAATAATGTAAAAGGATCGTTCTCCCTATATTAATCTATTCTTAGCATGATAGCATTATGTACAAATAGAATTAAATTTGCTTTTTACTCCTTTATTTGAAAAAGAGCTCCTTTCTGCTGATTCACTTCTCAAGCGTACACAACGGTGGAAATGGGCACAGCAGAGCAAGGAGCCTGTAACTTGATCCAGGTCTCCTACAGAGGTAGCAGGAGCCCAACTAGTTGATCCTTCACTGCTGCCTCTCAGCATTCCCAACAGCAGAAGTGGGAAGCAGAAAGCCAAAGCCAGGAATGGAACCCAGGCACTCTGATGTGGGACACAGGAGTCCTAACAATGGTCTTTACCACAAGGCAAACATCTGCCCCACAAATGTGATACTTTAAAGCAAGACAAACTGATTTTAATATACCTTACAGGAAAACACGTACGTGGGGCAGGTACTTATCACCGAGGTTAAAATGCCACTTCAGACACTGGTATCCCTATCAGAGTGCCTCGGTTTGAGTCCTGGCTCTGCTTCCAAGTTTAGCTTCCTGCCAGTCCATACACTGGGAGGCAGCAGATCATCGCTGAAGTACTTGGATGCCTGCCGCTCCCCCAGAGGACCTGAATTCAGTTCTGGACGCTTGGTTTTAGGCTGGCCCAGCCCTTAGCTATTAGTCATTTGGGGGAGTAACCCAGTAGATAGAAGTGTTCCACATCTTCTCAAAATTACTAGAGCAGAGTCAAATATAAGTCAATCAATAGAAACAGCCAGAAATGACTGAATTATGGAACAATGACTCAATTGTATTTTATGTATATCAACATTGTGGTGCCGTGGGTTAAGCCATTAGCTTGTAATGCGGGCAACAGACATCAGAATACTGGCTGTTGGTCCTAGCTGCTCTGCATTTGATCCAACTTCCTGCTAATGAGTCTGGAAAGGCAGCAGATGATGGCCAAGTGCTTGGCCCCTGTTACCGGTGTGGGATATCTGGATGAAATTCCTGACTCCTGGCTTCAGCCTGGCCTATCCCTGGCTGTTGTGGCCATCTGGGGAGTGAACTAGTAGATGAAAGATATCTCTTTCTCTCTCCCCATCTCTCTGACACTTTCAAATAAGTAAACAAACAAACAAACAGGGGTTGGCATTGTTGACACAGTGAGTTAAGCCACCACCGCCGATGCTAGCATCCCAGATGGGCACAGGTTTGAGTCCCAGTTGCTCCCCTTCTGATCTGGCTCCCTGCTAATGGCCAAAGAAAGCAGCAGAGGATGGCCCAAGTGCTTGGGTCCCTGCACCCAATGAGAGACCTGAAAGAAGCACCTTGCTCCTGGCTTCAGCCTCTCATAATGCTGACCATTTGGAGAGTGAACTAGCGAATGGAAGATCTCTCTCTCTCTCTCCCCATCTCTCTCTCTGTCTCTATAACACTGACTTCCAAAATAAAATCTTGAATAAATAAATCTTTTTAAGAAGGAGAAAAATGGAAATTATAGAGATACAATATTCAAAATATTAGACACTGCAGAAAAAACAATTAGTGAACTTTAAGGCACAGCTTTAGAATCTATACAAAATTGAGAAATAATAATGAAATAAAGGGACAGTCTCAATGCAATAATCATGTGGCCAGCCATGTATAATTGGAATACAGAAAAGGGAGAAAATAACAGAAAAAGTGAAGAAATAATAAGGATCAGATCCTCTTAAACAGATTACAAAAAAAACCAGAACTCCAAAACAGATTACAAAAAAAACAGAACTCCACCAAGTGGAGAACCTCAAAAAAACCCCATGAGGATAATGATAGACATGTACCACATCCAAGAACATAACTAAGCTACTGAATCAATAAAAAAGATATTTCTTAAAAGCACCCAGAGAGTGATAAACATGACTAGTCTTATCCTGTTAGAAACGATTCAATCCAAGCAATAACAGACTGACTTCTTCAAATTCAGAGAAGAAAAAAAAAATAAAACTTACCTACAACCCTGTATACGGAGAAAATGAGGTAAAAATAAAAGCATAGGGGCTGGTGCTGTTGTGTAGTAGGGTAAGCCTTCGCCTATGACACTGTCATCCCATATGGGTGCTGGATCATGTGCCAGCTGCTCCTCTTCCAATCCAGCTCTCTGCTATGGCCTGGGAAAGCAGTAGAAGATGCCCCAAGTGCTGGGCTCCTGCACCCACGTGGGAGACCCAGAAGAAGCTCCTGGCTTTGGATTGGCCCAGCTCCCCCCACTGTGGCCATTTGGAGAGTGAACCAGTGGATGAAGACCTTTCTCTCGGTCTCTCCCTCTCTCTGTCTGTAACTCTACTCTCAAATAAATAAAATCTAAAATAATAATAAAATAAAAAAAATAATGGGAAAAATGAAGGAAAAGTTCATTTCTCACAGACCTACACTGCAAGAAATCTTACTGAGAAGAGGGGACATGAGCTATGGTGCAATAGGGTAAGCCCTGGCTTGTGGTGCCAGCATCCCATTTTGGAGTTCTGGATCAAGTCCTAGCTACTCTAATTCCAATATAGCTTCCTGCTAATGTACCCGAGAAAGCAGTAGATGATGGTCCAAGTAGTTGGGTCCCTGTCACCTTTGTGGGAGAATGGGATGGATTTCCTGGCTCCTGGCTTTAGCCTGGCTGAGACCTGGATGTTGTGGCCATTTGAGGAGTAAACCCGTAGATAGAAGATTGATCTACCTTTCTTTCTGTCATTCTGCCTTTCAAATAAATACGTAAAGTATCTTTTTTTTAAAAAAAGTTACTGAGGAGAAAGTAAAATTACACCAGATTAAAACCTAAACCTGGGGCCGGCGCTGGGGCACAGCAGGTAAAGCCTCTGCCTGCAGCACTGGCATCCCATATGGGCAACAGTTAAAGACCCGGCTGCTCCACTTCTGATCCAGCTCTCTGCTATGGCCTGGGAAAGCAGTGGAGGATGGCCCAAGTCTTGCACCCCTGCACCTGTGTGGGTGGGAGACCTGAAGGAAGCTCCTGGCTCCTGGCTTCAGAAAGGCCCAACTCCGACTGTTTCAGCCACTTGGGGAGTGAACCAGTGGATGGATATCTCTCTCTGCCTCTGCCTCTCTATACCCCTGCCTTTCAAATAAATAAATAAATCTTTTAAAAAATAAAGAAAATAAAATAAAACTTAGACCAACACAAAGGAATAGTGTGTAAACAGTAAATGTAATGGTAGGCCAAAGACTCTTGATTATTGCCTCGTTTCTTTAAAAACTGTTTAAAGCAAAAGAAAAATAGGTTGTATTTACAACAAATATGGAAGTAAAATTTTGACAATATGAGCAGAAGGAGAGGAGGGAGAAAACAGAAGAATATTATTACAAGGTTCTTGTTTCATGTGGGAAATAGTATTAGTTGAAGGTAGATTATAACACGAAAATGTACACTGTAGACTTCAGCAAACACAAATAACACAAAATCAAAAGTAAATATAAAATGGGAAATAAAATAGAATAAACAATTGGAAAGAAGGCAAGCAGAAAGCGGGACGCACAAGGAACAGACAGGACACACAAAAAACAAAGAACAAGACAATAAATCTTATAAATACCACATTTTAAATTTTCTAATACAATGTCAGAATGGATAAAACTGTAAGAGACATTTATAGATTATCTAAAAGAAATTCAACTTAAATATAGATACAAACTGGTAAAAGGACACAAAATGATACTTCCGGTAAGTACTAATTAGAAGAAAACCAGGATCAAGGTAGATTCCTCTTTCTATTCTTGAGAAGAAAAAAGAACTCCTAAGGGGCAAAGACAGTGTGGAAAATCCCCTTTTTATTTTGTTATCTTCTGTCCCAATCCAGACGCAATGGTGATAGCTACAGCAGCCAACAGACTACAGTTCTGAAGGAAAGGAATCATGCTCTCCAATCAAAGGCACTATGGTCTTATGAGCACGGGCCAAATCCTCATTACTTTTTAACTTCGTCCTCCTACTGTTTGGCACTAGACAAAGACACAGGTACAGCGACCAGGTGACAGAGAAGGAGAACCTAAGCTTCTGCTTTTTATCCAGAGGATCAGGAAGGGGGGCCCCAGGAATCTAGAAAATTTGACAGAAATCATGGAGAGGAACACAAGAAAGAGAACCCACAGATGATCTATAAACTCCTGGGCTCACTTACAAATTCCACTTGCAAGATCTCAACCTAATCAGCTTATCAAAGGCTTTGGGAAATGGACCATATGATAAGGTAACCACTGATCAGGTCATAGAACAGACCCTGCAAAGTGCACACTTGGGACAACTCCAAATGGCAAGGCAAACTTCTGGAAAAGTAAACTAACACTGGAGCAAGTCTACTGAAGGCAAATCAGAATTCGTGGGGCTGGCGCTGCAGTGCAGTAGGTTTGTGCCGCTGGGATCCCGTATGGGCACCAGTTCGAGTCCTGGCTGCACTCTGCTAATGGCCTAGGAAAGCAGTGGAAGATGGTCCAAGTGCTTGGCCCCTGCACCCATGTGGAAGACTGGAAGCTCCTGGCTCCTGGCTTGATTGGTCCAGCTCCAGGAGTTCTGGCCATTTGGGAAATGAACCAGAAGATGGAAGACCTCTCTCTTCTCTGTCCCTTTCTTTTGTCTGTAACTCTGCCTTTCAAATTAAATAAACAAAAAAAGTGGAACCAGAGAAGACTGCTATTTTTAAAAACATTGCTTTCTCCTTAGGATTTAACAAGATCTAGAATCTCATAATACTCAAAGATTCAGAATACAATAAAAACAAATCACTCCACAAAGAACCAAGGAAATCTATAACTAGAGACCATTATCCTAGTGAAATAAGCCAGTCCCCATAAGACAAATACCATGTTTTCTTCGATTTGTGGTAGCAAATATATAGGGAACAAAAAAAGCAATATATATGAATGAAATTGACATTTGGAGATTAGATTATTGCTTTTAGTCCTTGTCTATATTCCTGAGAAACAGTGGTTTTTCTACTTAACTACTTGAATTCTTTATTTAGTACAGGGTTAAGCTTTTGATTATAAAGTAGGTTAAAAATATGTCATTGCAAAAATTAAAAGAAAAATAAAGAAGGAGGAAGGCAGGTAGGAGCAAAGGATGGAAGGAGGGTTGGGTAGGAAGCATCATTATGTTTTTAAAACTGTGCATATGAAATACATGAAATTTGTCTCCTTTATATAAATAAAAAAATAAATCATATTATATTCCACTGTGTTTTTTATATCACACTTTTTTTTTTTTAATAGTGGGAGGGGAGAGAAGGGGAGAAAGGGAGAAAGAGGGATCTTTTTTTTTCTTCCTTCCGTTGGTTCAGCCCCCCAAATGGCCACTATGGCCGGAGCTACGGCGATCCGAAGCCAGGAGCCAGGTGCTTCTTCCTGGTCTCCCATGCGGGTGCAGGGACCCAAGCACTTAGGCCATCTTCCACTGCCCTCCCGGGCCACAGCAGAGAGCTGGACTGGAAGAGGAGCAACTTGGACTAGAACCTGGCACCCATATGGGATGCTGGTGCCACAGGTGGATGATTAACCAAGTGAGCCACAGCGCTGGCCCCTATATCACACTCTTAACGACTAAGTTATAATGTATCTAATATAGTAGTATATGCACAAAATTCACAAACATTCATGTATTGAAGATTCATGCTAATTGTGATCACTTTCTTTTTATTATTAGGGCTACATGATCAAAAGAATATAGAGATCATGATATAAGAAATAGCAAAAGTTTTGCTTCTATGTTTAAGAAAATTTTTAAGAACAATATTCTGATTACAGAAGACCTTTAAGAAAAAACATAAATCATATTTGGTCCTATCAACTAGGCAACAATTTATAGTATCTGGATATTATAGATAAACCTAGAAAGTTGTTTAAAGTAAAAACAGCCTTATATTCAATAATTTTCAAGAAAAAGCTGAAACCAAGATTGTAAACATGCTTGAGTATACTAATATTTATTATAAAACAATAATACTTTGAATGCACATACCCATTTATTCTAAATAAAAAATTTAAGAAGAGCCAATTTAAGGCTTATAAATACTCTTTAGACAAGGCATTCTAAGCAAACTCAGCTTCTCATTTCATTCAGAATTTTCAACAGCTCCAGATGATAATAAGGATATGGCTAAAAGAAGCACATGCCTAAGAAACAAAAATAACTTATTTTTATTACAGCCCAGACTTAACTTGATAAAAAGTTTATAATAGTAATTTCCAAGGCCTCAATTATATCTTTTATAAAATATCCTTTTTCATAAATACTTAATTGTCTTTGCAGTTTAGGGAAAAGTCAACTTGGACCTGATGTTGGGATTGAAAATGAAAAGTTACTGAACAGGTAGACTAAATTAATCTAAATACAAAATAATAATATGTAGGAAAGTACTATATAAATCTAAGTACTATATAAATCTAAGCTCCTTGTTAATGGCCTAGGAAAAGTATCGGAAGAAGACCCAAGTGCTTGGGCCCCTACACCCACGAGGGAGATCTGGAAGAAGCTGCTGGCTCCTGGCTTCAGACTGGCCTAGTCCTGGCCACTGAGGCCATCTGGGGAGTGAACCAGAGGATGGAAGATCTCTGTCTCTCTGTCTCTCTCTATCCCTCTCTGTAACTCTGCCTTTCAAATAAATACAATAAATCTTTAAAAAAAAAAAAACAAACAATAAATTAATGAAGTTTAAGCAGAAACTATATCGACTTTTATAAATTACAGGGACTATAGAAACAAATAGTGCACACAATATTTTCTCTAAGGATATATGTATATTCTAGATATTCAGGAATTGTACTTATATGTTTATTTATTTGAAAGGCAGAGTGACAGACACAGAGGGAGAGATTGAGAAACAGAGAGATCTTCCATCCACTTTTTCACTCCCCAAATAGTCAAACAGCCAGAGCCAGGCCACGTAAAAAACAGGAAGCAGAACTCCATCTGGGTCTCACACAGGGGTAGCAGAGGTCTAACACTTTGGTCATCTTCTGCTGCCTCCCCAGGTGTGTTAGCAGGGAGCTAGATTGGAAGTACAGCAGTGGGGACTCAAAATGGCACTGTGATAAGACTGTGTTAATGGATGCCAGCTTCACAAGTGGCAACTCAACCCCCTGCACGGCAATGCTGACTCCTTAGGAATGTATTTATCTAATACTTAACAACTAGTCTAAAAAAGAAATTAATTTTTAAGAAGTGAAAAATATGGGCCGGTGCTGTGGCACAGTGGGTAAAGCTGCCGCCTGCAGTGCTGGCATCCCATATGGGTGCTGGTTCAAGTCCTGGCTGCTCCACTTCCAATCCGGCTCTCTACTATGGCCTAAGAAAGCAAGAGAAGATGGCCCAAGCCCTTGGGCCCCTGCACCTGCGTGGGAGACTACAAAGAAGCTCTTGGCTCCTGGCTTCGGATTGACGCAGTTCTGGCCATTGCAGCCAATTGGGGAGTGCACCAGTGGATGGAAGACCTCTCTCTCTCCCTGCCTCTCCTTCTCTGTGTTTAACTCTGATTTTCAAATAAAAAAAAGAAGTGAAAAATACCTATATGCTAATAAGTTGCTATATATACAGTTAAGAAGTATTAATTAATTTGGCTACCTTTGGTCCTGAAACTGGGTGGATGGTATTTTTGGCAGATATTGGATGAGGAAAGGCATTCTGAAATGTAAATGCAGAAGAGACAGGATAACCAATCCCACAGCTTGGGTAGGTAAGTCTACCATCAACCTAAAAATGAAAACATAAGAATAAGAAATTAATTCTAAATAATATTTGCTGATCCAGGAAGCATTACCATCTAGTATAATAACTAACAGTTAAGAACACTATTTTTAAGACTAGAAAATTCTGCTTTAATACCTAGCACAAGGCAGGGATACTTCTTAGGACATAGGGCCTTTCAAAGTGGCTGTGCAAGCTTGGCTATAACAAACAACTGGCCATTCCTTTCAACTGAGTTAAAAAACAGACTTCTGAATAATCTTGGTTCACTCCAGGCTTCCAAAACAGGGAGAAGAGGGACAGGGCGGAGTCACAGATCCGTACGTCAGTCATAATTTTCTGCCAGACTGAGTAAAAACAAGATCAGTGTTCCCAAATGAACTAATTGAGACAATTATTTGCATTCCCTCTAATTTTCGAAATAGTGGACTCACCATTAACCACTGTCATAATACCAGTGGCTATTTATCATCATTCAGGGTTAAGCTCGTTAAGTTTTTTCAAGTTTGCTATTTAGCCCCAGGCAATCCTTTCCACAATTTTTCCCAATTTAGCAATAATCCTACCCCTTCTTCAGACATCTAGTACTATCTGATTCATCAGACTAGATTAAAACTTCAATTAGGCATCAAAATTTTAAGCCCTCTGCCAACGCCTCCCAGCCAAAGAGCACAAGGAACATTCCTGTAGTATACAAGCTGGGTTTACTGTTCCTTGCAACAAAGTAGACTGCACAGACAGGTCTCAGTAAGCAGAGTTAGTAGGAACTTGTTAATTAGATTTAAGCACATGTTAGGTGAATTAATGTAAGTTTAGGACTGTAGGACTTTGCTGTGGATTGGAAGCTATCAGGAAGTAAGGATCAATGTGTGACCTGTTATCTAAATACATCCTATATAACAAGGCAGGAAGAAGGCATTAAGGCCAAAGCTGTATTTGGGACAGAAGTAGCAGCAACTCACATTAGTCATGATAGAAGGATGCCTGGCTATTTTTGTGGTTTGGTAATGTTCGTATTTTTGTCTGTGTTCAGACATGATTATGGAGTGGTCTTTTTGTCCTGATTCATCACAGTTACAGACTGACCTTGTCTGATGTCAATCTTCTGTGAAACTGTTATGTTCAACAAGAGAGTTCCGAGGCCTACCTGTGAATTCTAGACAAGCTCTTACTATGACCAAGCCCTAACCATCTGATAGTACCAGGCCACCTTTTGGATGGAAGGAGCTGCTTTTCTAATCTTCCCCCTCTTACTTGGAAGGAAAAAGCAAAAGACCTGGTCCCAGGAGCTAGAAACTTGTATTTCATGACCAGTTTCTTCTAGAACCTAGAACTAACAAGCCTGCTAATAGGGCTTTACTTTTTTTTTTTCCCCTCATAGAATCTGTTAGGCTTTTTCCCTCATAGTTCCAAACTTGAGTCTAAACTCTGAATTCTCTGTTCCTGTAGTTTCTTAAACATTGTGCATGTATGCCTATGCATGCACATCTGTGTGTTTTACAGAATTTGGCATTACTTTAGTTTGTACTAAATGATTTCTATATCTATTAAAGACTTAAAAGAAGTGAGCCCTTGAAATACAGCCTCTTTGTTAACAGCAAGTATGCCTCTGTCCTATTGCCTACAACAACTTCAACTCTACTTCAGTGATAAATAATTATAGAGCTACAGTTTGTACTAGTACCAGGACTTTAAAACATTGAGACTTCCTAACAATCAGAGAAAACTGTTGTTTTAGAATATTCACTAAGATTATTCACATCTTATATTAAATCTTACCACATTCAGGTTAGGAGAAATTCCACTTCTGATTGTACTGCTATTAGAATGTACAGGTGGAGTTGTAGAAGATCCCAATACATCTTGCTTTCTCACTAACTGATTTTCATTTAGTTCTTTATTTAACCATGTGATTACTTAAATAAAAGAATAAGAAACAAAGTACTTTATTCACTGTTTATATTTTCCTAATCATTTTAAAGAGTTAAAAGTTATATTAGCATTTTTTAAAATTTTGAGTTTTTTACAACTATCTCATATCCCAGGAGAATAACCCAGGTTCACCTACTTTTTTCATTCAAGGTTGTTATTTTTGCAACTGCCCCATAGAACTCCTTACTCTATTATTCCCAGAAGCATGTATTTCTGCTACTCAAGCATCTCTTTGAAAGTTTTTGCCACCACAACAGTATCTTACAGTTTATTTAAAGATCATAATCTTATGTCTGATTCTCAGTTCCAGGAACTAAGAAAATGTTAGTTAAAAGCTTAATTTTTTACTTTCATTTCAAATAACTAATGTTACTAATATTATGTAAACAGCAATTTTTACAAAGGAGATAGGGAATATTTAAACAGCAAGTTCAATTAATATTTTCAACACTTTCAATTTTGGGATATCAATAAAGTGTTCTTTATAATGGTAAGTGTTCTATAGGGTAGATAATATAACTTACTATAGCAAAGGAATTAAAAATATATTTAGCCAGCGCCGCAGCTCACTAGGCTAATCCTCCGCCTTGCGGTGCCGGCACACCGGGTTCTAGTCCCGGTCAGGGCACCGGATTCTGACCCGGTTGCCCCTCTTCCAGGCCAGCTCTCTGCTGTGGCCAGGGAGCGCAGTGGAGGATGGCCCGAGTGCTTGGGCCCTGCACCCCATGGGAGACCAGGATAAGCACCTGGCTCCTGCCATCGGATCAGGATCAGCGCGGTGTGCCGGCCGCAGCACGCCGGCCGTGGCAGCCATTGGAGGGTGAACCAACGGCAAAGGAAGACCTTTCTCTCTCTCTCTCTCTCTCATTGTCCACTCTGCCTGTCAAAAAAGAAAAAAAAAGAAAAAAATATATTTAAAGCAGAAATTATTTGTATATAGCAGTTATCTTGATTGATCTACACCATTATGATTTCAAAATAAAAATTTAAAAATGTTTACTTATCTTCATCTACTTAAAAGGCAGAGAAAGGTGGGGGGGGTAGAGAGAGAGAGAGAGAGAGAGAGATCTTCCATCTACTGGTTCACTCCTCAAATGCTCACAACAGCCATCTCCTAGGCTGAAGCTAGGAGATTAGAACTTCATCCAAGTCTTCCACAGGGGTGGCAGGAGCCCAAGCACTTGAGCCACCATCTGCTGTCTACCAGAAGCATTTGCAGGAAGTGAAATCAGAAGCAGAGTAGTGGGGACATGAATCAGCAATCCTACAGGATGTGGGCATACCAAGCAGCAGCTAAACCCTTTGCACAATGCCCATCCCTGAAACTGTTATCAATAAAATTAAATCTCATTTACATAAAAATATGAGGCAGGCGTTTGGCTAACTAGCTTAGATGCCAGTTAGGAAGTTCACATCCTTATCAGAGTACCTGGGTTTGGTACCAGCTCCATTCCTGATTACAGCTTCTTGCTAATACACAAGTACTAGCATGTGTTGACTGCATGAGAGACCTGGATTGAGTTCCTGGCTCCCAGCTTGAGACTGGCCAAGCCACAGCTGTTGCAGACATTAAAGGAATGACCCAGTGAATGGCAGCTTTCTTTCTTTTTCTGTCTCTGTGCCTCTTCCTTTCAAATAAATAAATAAAATTTTAAAATATAACATACTTACATTTTTCATTATTTTTTAAAAGCTGTTTGCTTTCTTCAAGTTTTTGAACTGTAGCTTCTAATTGTTCTTGTAATTTGCATACCTGAAATATGTCAATTCTCATAGTAAGTCAAACAAAATAAAGTTTGTAATGTAAAAAATACATTACAGTTAATTAATTAAATACTAAAATATTACTAAATGTGAATATAGGAATTAGCTCATCTATGTAATGCAATATTTGTGTATCTATATATAGATGCATATATATACACACTATATATGTGTGTAAAACAATGTGTTTGACCTTTCAAACTGAAATAGGTTAACTCTGTTGAATCTAGTTGTGTTAGAAAATAAAGCCAAAGCATTCTCTAACTAAAAATTTTAGAAAGACACATCTGAGGAAATTTGCTATAGTTTACAAACAGAATAATCACAAAATATTAACTACCTCTTGCTCTTTAACTCGGAGAGACTGTCCAACCTCTTCTAATTCTTTATGTTCCTTTTGTAATTTTTCCTCCTTCTCAGCCAAGAGTTTTTCTTGCTGAATAGTAACTGTATTCTTCAGTTTCAACTTACCCATTAGAGTTTTTAGATCCCCTTGTAACTTCTTGATAATTTCATTCGCCTGTAAAACAGCTTAACATGTATATCTCTACATAATTTAATGAAATATTAATATTCTATCAAGTTTTAAAACAAACCTTCAGAAGTTCTGCTGACAATGATTTTATTGTAGCTTCAAGTTTTCCCAGCTGTACCTGATTTTTCTCACCATTTTCTTCTAAAGCCACCTGATATATTTGTTAAAAAACATGTAAAATAATTAAAGCGCTTGTGTTTGTTTAGGAAAAACAGCACTTGTAAATGTGATCAGATCATCAATTTGTTTAGAAAATTTTTAAAGTAGACCTTTTGTTCCTGGATTGTATCAAATGCTTCTTTTGTTCTTAAAACAAGCTGGTCTTTATCCTTGATTTCCTGTTCTAAAACTGCCACTTTTGTTTGAAGCTGATTAATATGCTTTTCTTTCTCATGGCATTCAGAATCTAGTGTAGAATTCTCTCTTCTCAAAGAGAGAACTTCTTGCTTAGTCCGCTGCAGCTCCTAGAGAATGGTTAAAAAAAAAAAAGTTGTATTACACATTATGAAAAAGTGAAGTTGGCTCATCTAGTTATTTCTAATTCAGATGTTTGAAGAATATAAAAGTCTCTAAGGTATGAGTAACCTACAGATTCAAAATACACTATAATATACTAAGAGAGAGTCTTCCATAAACTTCTGAAGGACTTTCATATCATCTAATTCAATCACAGGAAGAGAAAATTCAGTGATCCAGATTTATGAATAAATTACTAAAATCTATAGAAACCTATAACGGGAATTTTCTGCTATTTCCCCAACTGATTCCAAGGGTGGCCAAGGGTGAGAGTCACAATTTACAGTTAATATTTTTCTCTGCTTATATGCACAGAAATTTTCTCTTAAAAGGGTCACACTGTTGAGTTTTACAACCTACTTCTCACTGTATTACATTACATCATAAATATCTTTCCATGTCAACAAGTATGTTAACATTTCTAGATCTCCCTTTGGTTTATTCTTTAAAGTAAAAATAAGTAGATAAAGTTGTCAATTAAAATCTGATTTCAAGGGACAGTGCTTAGCCTAGCAGTTAAGACACTGGTTGAGATACTCAAGTCTCATATCATAGATTCTAAATTTGATTTCTGGCTCCAGCTCCTGAACACAGCTTCCTGTTAATGCAGACCCTTGGGAAGCAGCAGTGGTGGCACAGGTAATGGATTCCTACCGACCAAATGGGAGCCCTAGACTGAGTTCCTGGCTCTTGGTTTTGACTCAGCCCAGTCCGGGCCATTGTTGGCACTTAGGGAGTGAATCAGCAGATGGGAGCATGCCTTCTCATTCTCTCTCCCTCTCCTGTCTCTCTCTCTCTTGCTCGCTCTTGCTCTCTCTCTCTCTGCTCCTCTGCTTCTCAGATAAAAAAATCTATATGTATATACATTGATTTAAAAAATTCTAAGTAGGTTCCCTCCCAGTCAGCTAATACCAAACCCAAATATTGCTGGCATATAAAAGTCCAGTATTAAGTATTTACAGATAGTTTTAAACAAAAATTTTAAAAGATAATTTTGTATGTTATATCATGGTGGTTTTGAGGAGTACAGACTTTGATATCAGATAAACTTGAATTCACACCCCGGGAGTGGGGGGCCAGCGCCATGGCTCACTTGGTTAATCCTCTGCCTGTGGCACCAGCATCCCATATGGGCACCGGGGTCTAGTCCCGGTTGCTCCTCTTCCAGTCCAGCTCTCTGCTGTGGCCTGGGAAAGCAGTGAAGGATGGCCCAGGTACTCAGGCCCCTGCACCCACGTGGGAGACCAGGAGGAAGCACCTGGCTCCTGGCTTCAGATCGGTGTAGTTCCGGCTGTAGCGACCATTTGGGGTGTGAACCAACGGAAGGAAGACCTTTCTCTCTGTCTCTCTCTCTAACTCCATCAAATAAATACAAAATAATAAATACATAAATAAATAGATAGATAGATAGATAAAAAAAGAATTCATACCCCGGCTCATCTACTGTGTGATCTTGGAAATTATTTTATCTTACTCAATTCTCCCATGTGTAGAACAAAAATAACAAATACTTCATAAATTATTTTATTTAATCATCTCAAAACTTGGGTAAAAAGGCACTGAGAAGACACAGTCCTATGCCAGTCAATTGTTCCTCAAAATCCTAACTAAAAATATTCAAGTCTTCCCTTAGTTTTGTCTTGAATTAACTCTTTTTATCAGATTTCAGATTCTCAGGGTTTTTTTGTGTGTGTATTGTCTGAACAGATTACCCTAACACCATAGGACATTTATGCGAGGCATCCAGGATGAATTAATATATTAAACTAATCAAATATTAAATGGAATAATGTATGTTAATTATATATTAATTATAACATATAATAACATAAAATAACCAAATATTAAACTAATCAAATTAAAGTGAAGTGATCAAAATAAAATGCATTTTTATGCTGGGGGAGGGGGGCTAATACCTCTTCAACACCAGAAAGTTTTGCTTTAAGTTCTCTGATAGTGGCGTCTCCTTTATATTTCCTTTCAGTTAGGTCTTTGTTAGTTGCTTCTAACTCAGACAATCTGTTCTGTAGTTGGTGGATGTTTCGCTGATGGAGGATTTCTAAATCCTTTTTCTGTTGTTCATGCTGTTGCTGATACTGAACCTGTGCCTATTATGTAAAAATAGAGCACCAAGAAAAGTCAGACATATAAACACAAAAAATAATCATAAGTTTCTCTAGAATTATTAGACTTTCCTTTTTTCCAAGGAGCCTATTTTGAATTACGGATTTCATGAAGGAGAAGGTCAACAAAGGCAAATTTATCACCATGATCTTGTTCATAATCTGTTTCTCGCAAATGCTTAGAATTAATAGTATGCAAAGATAAGTGAAGAATGAAGTATGACTAATTAAAAAAAAAAACTGCAGAGCTGGTGTTGTGATATAGCAAATTGGGCTGTCACCTTCAAGGCTGGCATCCCATATGGACACTGGCTTGAGTCCCAGCTGCTCCACTTCTCATCCAGCTTCCTGCTAACACACCTGGGAGAGCTGAGGAGCAGAGTCCATGTGCTTAGGCCCCCACCACCAAAGTGGGAGACCCAGATGGAGTTCCAGGCTCCTGGTTTCAGCTTGACCTAGCCCTTGCCATTGCAGACATTTGGGCAGTGAACCAGCTGATGGACGATCAATCTCTCTCTCTCAATGTCTTTCAAGGAAATAAGTAAATCTTAAAAAAATTTAAAAAAGCAAAGCGCAAAATAGTATATATAGTATGAATCTGTGTAAAAAAGAATGAGCAAGAATTTTGAGTTTTGTTTTTAAACACCATTATATTTAGTTTTTGGTTTTTCAGTTAAGATTTTTTTTTTAATTTATTTGAAAGGTAGAGTTAGAGAGAGAGAATCTTCCATCCACTGGTTCACTTCCCAAATGGCAGCAACAGCTAGGGCTGGGCTAGGCTGAAGCCAGGAGCTTCATCTGGGTCTCCCATGTGGGTACACAGGCCCAAGGACTTGGGTCATCTTCGATTGCTTTCCTAGGCACATCAGTAGGGAGCCAGATGGAAAGCAGAGCAGCCAGGACTCAAAATGGCACCTATATGGGATAGCAGCACTGCAGACAGCAGCCCAACCCATTATAAAACACAGGCCCCTGTTTGAGTTTTAGTTTTAAACAATGAGTATGAATGATAATGAGAAGATACCTTAAAACTGTAAAATCAGCAAGGTATCTGCATTACTCTAATTTCATAGTTAGTAGTTGCATTTTACCTACAACAAATTCATGGTTTAATTATAATTTCTGGTGCCTGTCTGAATCCTATCACAAACCTGTTCACATAATGAATTCTATCAAATTCTTATTACCTATTTAAAATAAAGCATTTTTTTCTGATGATGAAAAGTTATACATGCTCTTAAAGGAATAAAGGAAATCAAGACATATAATCCCATTCAAGAATCACTCAGTAAGTACTTAGGAATATTCTGTTCTAGTTATTTAAATATCCATATTGATATTCTGCATATGCACATAGTATATGAGCATACATTCAAACCTATTAAGATCAACCTATTTATACAATTTAATCATGCCTTTTATTCTCTTGGCATTTGCACTTTCTCTCATCATTAAAAACTCTACAAATACTTTAATAAGTGTACAACACTATATCCCATTTTTATTGCATGATTCATAAACTTCTTGCCAATTATGAACACTTATTTGCTATTTTATCACAGTTATAAATATTTGTGTATGAATATTCAAAAATCAGAATTTTCCTTAAAATCAATTATAATTTAAAGAATGTAAGCAAATATAAAGCTTTATACAAGTTCTCAAACTGCATCGCAGCAAATTTGTTCCCGTTAAAAATTCTTAACCACTAGTGGAGAGTGTCCCTCTCATAAAATATTTTGGAAACTTTACTATATTAGGAATTCCCTCATTTTTGGAAAGCTGAAAAGGAGAGATGAGGTAAAAGAAATAAAACAGGAAGGAGTTCACATAGAACTGAAAATGTAATCATGGAAAAAAAAATCAAAGAAGTTATAAAGAAAAGAAAAAAACCTAGAGCAAGCCAGTAAAGACGCTAACAGTAACTGTCCAAGAAGGTTAACATAGACACTGAAGTCAAGAGAGGCTAAAGGCAGTAAAAATAGAAAACTGGTTTTATCCAGTGGTTGTAAGATTTCAGAATTTTGACTAATCATTATGAACCTTCATTTCATCTTGCAAGATGTGCAGATACTGATCTCCGGAAGGGCAAATAAAAATCTTATGCATGTTTCCATCCTCCTAAGGGATGTTTTGTAATCTATATGTTCACAGGCATATAATTTGCTCTAAACTCCTTCTGCTATTTATGAGTATGCTGAATATTTATTCTCCCTTTCAGTTCTCCCCAACATATCTCCTGCAGTTTTGTCTAGCTAGTTGGCCTTTTCTGCGAAACTGTGCAACAGCTTTTTGTTCCCTTCATTGTTGTCCTTCATGACTGCCCTCTCTACCATAAGCCTAGTCAACTGGACTTCCCCATGTGTTTTCTGGCTTCTGATTCGCCTGGATGACTAACCTTAGAACTTTCTTAAAAGACAGGTCTTCAGTAAGTATAATTTATTAGCATTTCCTTGAACTCTGTTGAAAATTTTACATCTTTGCAACACCCTCTTCCTGAATGCTTTTTAAGAATATTATCTCACAAAAGACAATGGTTCCTAAAGAATTCATATTTTGAAAGTTGTATTAGGCCGGAGCCATGGCTCAATAGGCTAATCCTCCACCTGCGGCACCGGCAGCCCGGATTCTAGTCCCAGTCGGGGCGCCGGATTCTGTCCCGGTTGCACCTCTTCCAGGCCAGATCTCTGCTGTGGCCCTGGAGTGCAGTGGAGGATGGCCCATGTCTTTGGGCCCTGCACCCGCATGGGAGACCAGGAGGAAGCACCTGGCTCCTAGCCTTGGATCAGCACGGTGCACCGGCTGCAGTGGCCATTGGGGGTTGAACCAACGGAAAAGGAAGACCTTTCTCTGTCTATCTCTCTCTCACTGTCCACTCTGCCTGTCCCTGTCCAAAATAAAGAAAAAAAAAACCACATCCCAGACATGTGTTTAAAAAAATAAAAAAGGAAAGTTGTATTAAAGGAGATAAATAAAGGATGTTTCCACTGTACTGTCAATTCTTAGCATCACAAATGCTAGATTCTGCAAAATCACCATTAAAACACTTGGTATAGCATTTTAATTTATACACATAAGGGTTAGATTAAAAAAATCATTTTGGCTCTTTGATACTAAACTGAAATTTATGGGGGCCAGCACTGTGGTATAGCAGGCAAAAATGCCACCTGCAATGCTGCCATCCTATACAGGCTCAAGTTAGGGTCCTGGCTGCTCCATTTCCAATCCAGCTCCCCGCTAAAGGCCTGGGAAGAGCAGTGGTATTTGGGCCCCTGCCACAAACAGGAGACCTGGATGAAGCTATTGGCTTTGGTGTGGCTCAGCCCTTGCCATTGCAGCCATCTGGGGAACAAACCAATGAATAGAAGATCTTTCCCTCTCTGCCCCTTTGTCTCTCTCTATAACTCTCAAACAAATAAATAAATCTAGAAACAAATAAATAAAACTAAATCAAAATTTATGGAACACATGTTGTGTGAAACTTAAAGCAAACCCAAATAAATTCAATTATTAATTATATCTATTATTTCTATCAAACTATACGCTCATATTTAAGAAGCAAACTATAGTCTGCAAGTCAGATGCTATCAAGTAATTGCCATTTATGATCCATAAACCTTTTATATTTTTAGCTCAAAGACAAATATGTAAGAATGAGCAATTATTAATTCTCCAAGTTTTCTCAATTATCAGAAGTATCTTCCAGCTGTAACACAGTTGGATTATTCATCTATTCCAAAAAAAAAAAAAAAAAGCTCTTCACATGAAGAGTGTAACAAGAAAGGACAGAAGAGCCACCTTTCATTGTTTCATTGATTGGATATTTTCATAGTAACAAAAAATTTTATGGCAATAAAAAATACCAATATTTATTCTGAAGATAACAGTACTACCAGTAGCAGATACTAACTTCTTCCAATGTGATCTCTAGGAATAACCTGCAGTTCTGAACTATGCTTTAGAAGAATAAGAGCATTTCCAGCAGTCCATGCAAAATTTATTCCTAGTCTGTCATTGGTAATAATTGCCCTTGTTGCTGCAAGAACTTTAAATTTTTCTGCGACAAACCTTCAAAACTGATGTGAAAGGTATACTTGCAGGAACACTGAGTACTCTGTATGGCAGCCCTGGGCATGACGTCAGGGTGATCTTAAAGGAAACCTTAGCGGAAGGGGATCTAGTCTAGACAGACACCCCATGCCTACCTTGATGCATAGCCCCACTTCCTCCATGGTGCTAGGTACTATTTACTGTTTGCCCCACTCAGGTCCATATCTCTCAAGAGAATTTTCTATAGTGGTTTCAATTAGGGGAGGACACACAGTCCTCTGAGAACATTAGGTTAGAGAAACTTTGGCAAAGCTCTTTGAATTGTAAGAATTCAAAAACAAGGATTAACAGAAAAACCTATAAAGACACTGAATATAATGCATACAGGCAGGCCAGCATTCTGGTGTAGTAGGTAAAGCCACTGCTGAACATACCAGAATCCAATATGGGCACCAATTTGAGACCCGGCTACTCCATTTCCCATCCAGCTCCCTGCTAATGTGCCTGGAAAAGCAATAGAAGATGGTCCAACTCCTTGGGCCTCTGCACTCACATGGGAAACCCGGAAGAAGCTCTGAGCTTCTGGCTTTGACCTGGCCCAGCCGTGGCCATTGCAGTCATTTGCAGAGCAAGCTAGTGGTGAAAGATCTCTCTCTCTCTGTATCTCTCTCTCTGTGTAATTTTGCCTTTCAAATAAATAAATCTTGAAAATAATGCATAAATTAAAAGATGGTTGATTCTACATGTTGCTAGAACCTTCTTCTCAGAAGATACTATAAAAATGAGGAAAAACAATGTTGAAATAATTAAGACTATTTGGTATATTTGTAAAAGTAGTGGTTTGATGAAAACATGAGAATCATAAAAGAATGATAAGATACAAAGAAGTCAAATTTTCTCTCAACTTTTCAAATGCCTTAAACTAGAAATGGTACAACAGGTTTACTGTTCACTTAAGTAGAGAAGTGGCAAATACAGACAATGTAGCTGTTACTATATTCCCCATGACATATGCAGAAATCATCAAAAATGGTAGAAGGCTGTGGTAGAGGCCTTTGCCTTTTAATTAAACTTATTTCTAACTGACATGATTGAAGTTGTGGTAGAGGCCTTCCCAAGGTCAGAAGAAAAAGGGAGGCATCTGTCCTGGGAATGAAATGTGATTGTTATCTGCTTGCCTATGAATGCTTCAACTGTAGTCTCTATCTGCTTGTAGGTAACCATTTCAGGTTCTGCTTGTTAGTAGAGCAATGATGTTAACCCTTGCCAGACAGCTTATGGCTCAGTTATGTGTGTGGGAAAAAAAAATCTTCAGTAAGTACCTTCCCATGTGCGGTATTGTATCAATCCTGTGTATCAATCCTGTGGCCACCATGTAACATTAGAATATCCAAACATATGTATGCAGGTAACCCAAGGGAGACAAAGAAGCTAAAACCATATTTAAGGGAAAACCTTTCTTTGTTCAGGGCTCAGGATTTTGGATAAAAAATTCCACCTGGGCCTTATGCCGGCATAATAAAAGACAACCTCCTGTTAAAAGGCCTGGTGTACACAAATCCTGCTACAGTTTACCTACATTAACATAATGTTCTCATTCATCCTCTCATAAGGCTAGCATAAATCTAATGCTATAGTCTACAGCCCATAGCTGTAACAAGAACAAGGGGAAAGGGGAGGAAATCTCAGACTAATGTTACATATATATACAAAACATCCTGTGAGAAATAGCCTCACCTGTCCACCCAAAAGATAGGCTAAGACTCCGGAAATGCAGCCAAGGCAAGACTTCATTAACAGTACTGCAAGATCCAGTGTCTGGTAGGTAGGCAGGCACACCCTGGGCAGTTAACAACAAGCTTATTTACTCTGTAACACACAGGTCCCTCCCCTAGTTCCTCATTGGCTGAGAACTACAGTGTTATAATTTTCCTGAGATTTGCTTCAGCTATTTCACCACTCCTAACATTCCGTTTGCCTAAAGTGCATGTAACCTGGATGTTATGCTAGCTAGCTGCTTGCAACTTTCCACACATCTACAAGCTGTTACGCTAGCTGTCTACTCACAAATACCTTACTTTGAAAATGAGCCAAATGTCTTTACTTCTCACACATCCTAAATTAAGTATCAGCAAATTGATGCACTAAGATATTAAAAAATTCCTGCTGGGGCCGGCGCTAGGGCACAGCGGGTTAACGCCCTGGCCTAAAGCGCCAGCATCCCATATGGGCGCCGGCTTGAGACCTGGCTGCTCCACTTCCGATCCAGCTCTCTATGACCTGCGAAAGCAGAAGATGGCCCAGGCCCTTGGGCCCCTGCACCTGCGTGGGAGACCCAAAGGAAGCTCCTGGCTCCTGGTTTCAGATCGGCATAGTTACGGGCATTGCAGCCAATTGTAGAGTAAACCAACGGATGAAAGACCACTCTCTCTCTCTGCCTCTCCTCTATATGTAACCGACTTTCAAATAAATAAATAAATCTTTAAAAAAAAAATTTCTGCCTATTTAAGTACTATTGAATGAATGAGAACATGGTTCAGGGGCCAGCACTGTGGCATAGTGGATTAAGCCTCCACCTGAGGTGCCAGCATTCCATACGTATGCCAGTTCGGGTCCTGACTGCTCCACTTCCAATCCAGCACCCTGTTAATGACCTGGGAAAGAAGTGGAAGATGGCCCAAGTGCTTGGGCCACTGCACTTGCATGGGAGACCTGGAAGAAGCTCCTGACTTCAGATCAGCCCAGCTCTGGCCGTTTTGGCCATTTGAGGAGTGAACCAGTGGACTGAAGACCTCTCTCTCTGTTTCTCCATCTGTCTGTCTGTAACTCTGCCTCTGAAATAAGTAAATCTAAAAAAAAAAAAAAAAAAAAAAAGAAGATGGTTCCACATTTGAAAATCTATTGCTATAATTTATTACATTAGATTAAATGGGAAAATATTATTTGTTTAGATCTTCAAAAATTTTCTCATCTGATTTAGCACTCTTTGGATTATAACTCTTAAGAAGTAAGGAACAACAGAAACTTTTTTTCTCAAATACAGTGCCAACACAATACTTATTTTAGTCATGTACCAAAAAAGACTAGAATTCATTATATAGCATTTTTCTGTACAAGAGACAAATTTTAGGAAGAGACAAATTATGATTTTTATGGTTTATGTATATATCTAGAAAACCTAAAAATCAACCCCCAAACTACTAGAATATGTAAATTTAGTATGGTGGTTATACATTATATTAATATATATATCCAATAAACAATCAGAAAAATCTAACAACAATCATGGAGGTGGGGGAGTGAATGGCCTGATCTAGAGCCAAAAACATTAACAAGACGGTAAAGGAAAAAAGAGAATGGGAAATAAAAAGTAAACTGCAAGTGTGTTTTAAACAAATAATACCTAAATAAATCTTTCCACTGCATGGGAAAATGCTAAAGATATCAGTTCTTAACAACTGTCTGGGGGCCACAGTTGTTGCACAGCCCATTAAGCTGCTTCCCGAGACGCTGAAACCCCATATTCCCTAGGGCACAGGTTGGAGTTCCAGCTCCTCCACTTCCAATCCAGCTCCCTGCTAATGTGCCTGGGAAAACAGCAGATGGCCCAAGTACTTGGGCCCCTATCAACCCATGTGGGAGACACAAATGGAGTTCTAGGCTCCAGCATGACCCAGCCCTGGCTGCTGTAGCCACCTGGGGAGTGAACCATCAGATAGAAGATCCCTTTCTCTATAACTCTACCATATAAATGCATGAATGAGGGACCTGAGCTGTGGCGCAGCAGGTTAATGCCCTGGCCTGAAGCGCCAGCATCCCATATGGGCACCTGTTCTAGTCCCAGCAGCTCCTCTTCCGATCTAGCTCTCTGGTATGGCCTGGGACAGCAGTAGAAGTCCGTGGGCCCCTGTACCCACATGGGAAACCTGGAAGAAGCTCCTGGTTCCTGGCTTCAGATCAGTGCAGCTCTGGCTGTTGCAGCCAACTGCGAAGTGAACCAGTGAATGGGAGCCCTCTCTCTCCCTCTGCCTCTCCTCTATCTGTATAACTCTGACTTTCAAATAAATAAATAAATCTTTAAAAAAATAAATGAATGAATAAATAAATAAATAAATGTAAAACAACTATTCAAATAGAAGTCCTAGGACACAAAGGAATTTAGTACATGATACAAGTATTATTGAAATCATTGGGGGAATATGGTGTTGGAACAGATAACAGACTATCAAAAAGAATTCATATTGTACTCCACAAAAATATATTCCATAATGCACTAGATAGCTATACGCAGCAATAAATTATGAAAGTATTAGAATATTGGAGAGTATTTTTCATTACCTTGGGGTAGCAAGGGCTTTTTTTTTTTAATGCCTTACTTTTTTATTTTTTATAATTTATTTTATTTTATTTATTTATTTTTTTGACAGGCAGAGTGGACAGTGAGAGAGAGAGACAGAGAGAAAGGTCTTCCTTTGCCGTTGGTTCACCCTCCAATGGCCGCCGCGGCCGGCGCACCACGCTGATCTGATGGCAGGAGCCAGGTACCTCTCCTGGTCTCCCATGGGGTGCAGGGCCCAAGCACTTGGGCCATCCTCCACTGCACTCCCTGGCCACAGCAGAGAGCTGGCCTGGAAGAGGGGCAACCGGGACAGAATCCGGCGCCCCGACCGGGACTAGAACCCGGTGTGCCGGCGCCGCTAGGCGGAGGATTAGCCTAGTGAGCCGCGGCGCCGGCCTGCAAGGGCTTTCTAAACATGAAATCTCAAACTATGAAGGCAATTGACAGATTTGATGACAAACAAGAAGAATTGTATACAGAAAAGATACTGGTAAATGACAAATGACAACTAGGATAAAGAATTTATAATATACATGATTGATAAAGTGTAATATCCTTACTTTATGCCATTAAAAAATGAAAGACCAACCACAGAAATATTTGGAGTAAGCTCCTGGGTTCCACATCTGTGGATTCCAACTTCAGATAGAAAAAAAATTCCAGAAATTTCCAAAAAGCAAACAGAGGGGCTGGCACTGTGGCATAGTGGGTTAAAGCCCCAACCTGCAAAGCCAGCACTTGAGACCTGGCTGCTCCACTTCCATTCCAGCTCTCTGATAATGCACCTGGGAAAGCAGCAGAGGATGGCCCAAGTCCCTGGGCCCCTGTACCCATATGGGAGACCTGGAAGAAACTCCTGGCTTCAGATCAGCAGCTCCAGCCATTATGGCCATTTGGAGAGTCTAGAAAAACACATCTAAGTATTCATAAATTATCTCTGGATAGCCCAACTTTGAAAGACGAACTTTCAATTTTTATTATCTAAACCTTTATAACATTTGAAAAATTTAAGGCAAGCATATATTATTTTATAATTAACATGGCCAACAATAACAAAATTCTTCCAGTTTCTTTTAATGGCCTTACCTGTAAAGCTTTTTCCTTCTCATTTGTCAGTTCCTGAGAATGCTTATTTGTCAACGCTGCTGTGTGTGATGTCCATTCATTCCGTAGCTTATCTAATTCTTGAATTTTTTCTGATAATGTCTATGTTAGAGTTCAGTACAAAATATTAACATAGTACCTGAATATGTTCAGATTAGAACACAGTAATATTTACAAGGATATTAAAGAAAATGAAATTAAGTTTTCTAAGACGTACTCAAAGTCCTTTTACACAGACTTTTTGAATGTGATGAAATCAAGATTCTAATAAAAGCAATTCTTCACAGGTCAAGCTTATCTTTAAGATTTTAATTAAATTTGGCTTTTTGCCACCCAATCCTTTCCTCTGACATCAATATGTAAAGTAACCCAGTGCTGAATAGGTCAGTCCTAAGGAGTGTTCACTTACACATGAAACCTAGTACAACCATCACAAAGAGAGATGTTGTGCAGAGGTATTTTCTACCTGAATTCATGTAGCATATCAGATACTGTGACTCTCAATTTTAAGGACCCAGAGGTAAAAAATGTAGCTATGACTAAAATGATTCTAAGGCCATCAGAGGAATTAACGCTAACATTAACAGAAGAAAGGAAGAGTAGGGTTTACAGGATAGGAACCGAAAAGCTACTTCAGGCAAGAGAAATGAGGTAAATAAGAGAGATAGGAATGCGCATTTGGCCCAGAGGTTAAGATGCCTGTGTTTCATATCCGGTTCAGTATTGATCCTGCCTTCAGCCAGCTACCAACGCAGACCCTAGGAGGCAGTGGTTCCTGCCCCCAGCATGGGAGACCTAGACTGAGTTCTTGGCTCCCAGATTTGGCCCCAGGTCCAGGACTACTGCAGGCATTTGATAAGAGAACAAGTAAATGGAGCTCTCTGACTTGCCTGCTTTCCTTCTTTCCCTCCTCCTCCTTCCTTCCCTTCTCTCTCCCCATAAGGAATAAATAATTTTAAATTAAATAAAAGTGAATATGACAGATAGTATCTATACATGATCCTATTGATAGAATGTGTCATATATAAGTGATGACAGAAATGTTTGGATAGAATGAAATATCTAAAACAGAAAGCTACAGATAAAGAAAATAAATGTGGCAAATAGGAGAGAGAATTCAAAGGTAACAAGCTTTAAAAGAAAATACACAAAGGCTTGGACTTGATTCAAGAAGAAACTCAGAACCAAAGCCTAGATGACTTACAAAGACAAAACAAATTTGAATTACCTTTTGCGTTAAGTTCAGTTGCCTAGTAACATCCTCTAGTGATTGCGTCAATGATATTTTTTCTTCCTATTTATAAAAATAATGAAATTATGCAGTATACAATTTAATTTAGTCACTGGTAACCATGCTACCCAAACAGTAGCAAAGTACTGCATCAACATCATCCTGGGAGCTTCTTAGAAACACAGACTCTTAGTCTCCATTTAGTTCTTCTAAATGAGAATCTGTACTTTAAAAAGTCGCCCAGATGATTTGTGTACCACTAAAGTGAGATGTACTAGTATTAGCATTTAACCAAAAAGATTTCCTAAAAGCTCTTTAGCAGCATCCCTATGTCATTTCCTAATGTCATACTCTTTTTATAGCACTTGATTTTCAAGAAACTTTATATACTTTATCTCATTTAAGATGAGCTAGAAAGGGTAGATATTTTCATAAAAATCTATCTACCAGCTGATGAAACCATGACACAAGAGTTCAGATGGCCTGTCTTACATCACAGGAAATTGGTAAAAACCTGGGACCTAAGTTTCTGAATTTCCTGGTCTAGTTCTATACTCATACCTCCACTAAATCATAAACAGCAAAATAAAATTAATTTTATGTTACAAAAAGCTTTATGGGACAGGCTTGGGAACACCCACATCTCACATCAGAGTGCTGGTTCAATTCCCAGCTCTTTCTCTTCTGATCTAGCTTCCTGGTAATGCAGGCTCCTGCCTTCAACTTAGCCCAGCCCTGGTTGTTGCTGACATGTGGGGAGGGAACCAGCAGAAGAAAGACCTCTATCTCTCTCTCTCATTTTGCCTTTCAAGATAAAAATTATTAAGGTGCCAGCACTGTAGCATAGCAGGTTAAGCCACTGCCTGCAACTCCTACAGGCACCGGATCAAGTACCAATTGCTCCACTTTTGATACAATTCCCTGCTAATGCCTGGAAAAAGCAGCAAAAGATGGCTCAAGTGCTTGGGCCCCTGCACCTGGCATCGGCCTGGCCCAGCTCCAGCAATCGCAGCCATTTGGGGAGTGAACCAGAGGATGGAAGACATCTCTCTCTCTCTTCCCTTCTCTCTCTGTAATTCTGCCTTTCAAATAAACAAATAAATATTTTAAAAATAATAAATTTAAAAGAACATTCAGGAGCTCTTAAAACAACTTATAGCAATTTGATTCAGGAAAAAATAATGGTACTATAGGTCTTCAGTGATTCATCATAGAACTTTGGTACCTAATTTAAAAGAACAACTTAAATTTAAATCTTACCTTGCTACATTTTAAACAGCTTGCTAAAAATTTCTTTATCTCCACATCATTTCCAGGTAAAAGTTTTAGTGAGAGGTGTGTAAGATGCTTAAAAGGATTTGTCTCTACCACATTTAAAAATACAGGTGAGTTATCCAGATTAGCTGCTGGAGAAACTAACTGTAGCAAAAACCTTTAAAAAGAAAATGTCACAGTTTAACTCATGAGTAGTGAAACTCTCCCACTGAATCATAAGCTCCTCCACATAGAAAGACCAGGAATGAGAGTATACTGAAATCAGAGGCCAATATGATAGGGCTTTCAAACATATAAAAAAAATGGGCAACAACAACAACAAAAAAACAGATGGATCAAAGGCAGTACATATATTAAGGTTCATAAGTTCATAATGAGAGGCAGTTCAAAGAGAAAATAAAAACAAAAACTGAGGGTTATTGGGCACAGGAGGTTGAGTCACCGCTTCAGATTCCCACATCCATATCAGAGAGCCTGGTCTGTGTCCTGGCTACGCCACTTCCAGCGCAGCTTCCTGCTGGTGCACAGCCCGTGAGACAGTGGATGATGGCTGCAGTACTTGGGTCCCTGCCACCCACACGGGAAACCCACATGGAGCTGCAGGTTCCTGACTTCGATTAGGCCCAGCCCTGGCCTTTCTGGCCGTTTCGGGTGTGAACCAGCAATGCAAGATCACATTCTCTGCCTCTCTCTCTCTCTAATTCAACCTTTCACATACAGTAAGAAAATCTTTAAAAGAAAGATTTTGTAAATGCAGTGCTCTGACGGGACTTACCTTGGAATTTCTTTGGCATGTTCTTGAGCACACTGCTGAAGGAGATCTATAAATTTTTGTGGGAAAGCTAAGAAGTCCACCAGAAGCCCTTGCTGGAATTTTAAACTACACAAAAGACAGGAAAAGAAAATATTTAATTATAATTAGCATTCTGAAAGATCCTTTTATTTACTAAACACTCATTGTAGTCAAGAACAAAGATAGAGGACTTTTTTAAAAATAAATTCAATCATATATTTTAAAATTATTTATTTTCATTTTATTGAAAAGACAGAGAGTCAAACAGATCTTCTGCCCACTGGTTCACTTCCCAAATACGACACACAGGGGTGAGTCAGAATGAAGACAGAGGCTAGAACTCAATCCAGGTCTCCCACATGTGTGGCAGAGACCCAAGCACTTCTGCCATCATCTGCCGCCTCCCAGGCTTCACATTAGCAGGAAACTGGATCAGAAGTGAAGCAGCCAGGACTCAAACCAGGCACTCTCTTCTGTAATGTGGGCTTCCCAAGCAGTGACTTAACTGCTTATGCAAAATGCTTGCCCCGATGTTTGTTTTTACTTATCTATTTAAAAAGTGGACAGAAAGAGGAGAGAGACAAATACAGGGGTCTCATCGCTGCTTCACTACCCCGTGCTTTCATTGGGCTAAAGCCAGGAGCCTGGAACTCAATCCACGTCTCCCTACATGGATGGCAGGAACCCAATTACTTCTATCACCACCGCCTCCCAGGTCTACATAACCGGGAAGCTGGATCAGGAGTCAGAGTCAGAACTCAAACCCACCTGCCACAATCTGGGACATAGGCATCCTAATGGGCATCTTATCAGCTGGTCCAAACGCCTACCCCGGGAACCCTAATTTTGATAGAATTTATTCAATGGGAGAAAAAAGGTCAATAAATTTAGCTAAAGCTGCAAATTTCTGGGCTGTTTTGAAAACCTTGATAGAACATACTCCATTTATTTTCAGACACATCCTAAATAATTACAGTACAAATAGTCTAGTATTCCCAAAATAACTAAATGAACCTAGTAGGAACCTAATAGGTACGGTTTTCAAAGAGTGCAATATCATCATTTAAAAATCTTAGGAATTTATTCCTAAATAAATATGGGAATGGAAAAAATTTTAGTTACCTTTGAAAATCTTCCTCGGATATAATAAGATTATACAGAAAAAATGGATCCGTGTCATCAGTCAGACGGATAACTAAATCCTAAAAAAAAGATTGTTGTTTCTTAATGTTTGCAATAAATTTGGCTGGTGATTTCTTCCTTCTTGGAAGTAAGAATCCAATATCATCAATGTATCACAATTATACTTCTGATAGCTTTGTTTTCTGTTGCTGCTGGTTTTTTACTAGTCTTTAGAGAGTTAGACTCTTTAATAAGGGTAGATATTCTGCTCCCTGAGAGCCACTGGGTGCTGAGGGTATTCTGTAAAAGTTAACTAAATGTTAAGAGTTAAAAGTGTAGGATTATCATCCTATCAGTTAACTGTAAGGAAATTTAGACCCAGTCCTTGCTGCCCTATGACACCATGACCAAGATGATCTTTAGCACTGAACATACTACATACAATTATATTTTCAATATCTCTCAAAATAACTGGGTATGCACTTGAAGACTGCTAAATGTTATCAGTAGAAATGACAATCATCTATCCTAGAAAAATCAGGAGCTTTTGTCTCTCAGGCAGAGGACAAGGGTATCAGATGACTGGTTGCCAGGGTTTCTTCCTAAAGATCTATTTTCTCCTACTCCAGGTGGCTGCTGACGTGGAACTCCATCTGTTTTCAATTTCTAATGAAGGGGGTTCCTTTCATAAAGACCACTTTCCAAGCTGTTAAATTTATAGTGTGGCAGATTGCTACAGCAGCTAAAGTTGGCAGAAAAGTATACCAAAATTATGTACTTTAGAGAACATTGGTGCAAGGAAAACAGGGCAGAGCTATGACATGATGGCGAGTTAATAAAGCACTAAGCACTCAGGTTAAGAGCAGTTTGAAACAAAATCTATTCCATAGCTACCGGAGATCTGCTAGAGTCCAAGAAAAACCAAAACCACTCAGCCAGCATGTCAGAAGTATACTACATAATCTCTACCTTTGAAAAGTATCAATTGCCTCAGGATGCCCTGTTTTTTAAGCACCTCTGTTTTAACACTTCTCAGGATTCACCCTAACAGGCCACATAAAAAACAAAAACAAAAACAAAAACTGAAGCTACTAACACGGTGAGGTCACTGAATGTGCTCAGGGAAAGCTATTACACAGATAAAACAGATGCTATATTTCTCAGCCCTCTATTCTATGTCCATAGTTCTGTTGATGACTCGCATTTCTGAGATATGGGATTTATGCTGTAAATGCCTCCTCAAACTAAAAAACACATATCCTCCCTGCAGTACATTATTCTGTTCTCACATTTACTCCATGTAATGCCATTTTTATAGCGCAGCAATATATATTCTACAACTTTGTAAGTCTGCTGGGCAAATCTAAGGAGACTGTCACTCCAACTGCCAATGCATTTAGTATGTTTTAGAAATATGCAGCATAATTATCTTCAGTTGTTAGCTACGTCACTGTACCACCCTACCTTTGTAGGGTGGCCCAAACTGGCCCAAAATTAACAGGCAAGAAAGGTTTAAAAAAATTTCTTAAATTAAAATTGTCTATAGTGCACAAAAATTATCATATTTCAGAAAAGAAATAAATACCAACCTTTCTGTGAACTGGATTAGAAACTGATTGTAGTTCAATGCTGACTCTAACACTTACTCTCCTGTGTGAAAAAGACACGCCCAATCATCAGAAACATTCACATGAAATGAGTTACCACCACCACTTTCATTAACTGAAGTTTTAGTCTTTTTTTTTTTTTTGAAGATTTATTTCATTTATTTGAAAGACAGAGTTACAAAAAGAGGTACAGGCAGAGAGAGAGGTCTTCCATCTGCTGGTTCACTCCCCAGATGGCCGCAATGGCCGGAGCTGTGCCAATCTGAAGCCAGGAGCCAGGAGCTTCTTCTGGGTCTCCCATGTGGGTGCAGGGGCCCAAAGAACAGGCGCCCATATGGGATGCTAGCACTGCAGGAGGAGAATTAACCTACTGCGCCACAGCGTCAGCCCCAAGTTTTAAACCATAAGATTTTCCAGAGATGTTTTCTAACTAATGAACATACTTTTGGAAAGCACACTGTATTTGAAGTTTAAATTCTTGTTTTACTAGTTTCAAGTCTAATGCTGAATATTTCTCACCTATAAAATGAGGATCCTGTGAGGATTAAATAAGAAAATGTGGAGTGCCTCATAGTAGGTTGGTATATAAGTATAACCTCACTTCCCTGATTCTAAAACAGTATCTATTATTAAAAAACAAGCCATTGATTTAGTAACAACTTTTCACATTAAAAAAAAAGGATCATTTCAAATGATCAAATTAGTTTATGAGAGATTCCATTTTAAAAACTTAAATGAATTAGAATGTTTAGGATTAAGGACATTAAAAAGCACATCCCTACCTTTATACACATAGAAATTATTTTTTCAGATCCACAAACCAAATCTGCTCAATATCATTTTATTTTTAAAGATTTATTTATTTTACTTGAAAGTCAGAGTTACACAGAGGAGAGGCAGAGAGAGATGTTTTCCATCTGCTGGTTCACTCCCCAATTGGCCGCAACAACCAGAGCTGCACCGATCCAAAGCAAGGAGCTTCTTCCGGGTCTCCCACGTGGGTGCAGGGGCCCAAGGGCTTGGGCCACCTTCTATCGCTTTCCCAGGCCATACCAGAGAGCTGGACAGGAAGTGGAGCAGCCGGGACTCGAACCGGCACCCACATGGGAAGCCGGCACTGCAAGCGGTGGCTTTACCCGCTACGCCACAGCACTGGCACCTCAATATCTTCTTTATGCAATGTATCTATGAAGGTATTGTCAACAAATTTATTATCATGTATCTTATCACTAAGTAATTCTAAGTCTCTCTCTCTCACACTAACTCTGCCTGTCCAAAAAAAAAGTGGATACTATTTCTTTTACAGAGGTTCGAAGAACCTAAGTCTCACAGAGTTACATACCTGTTTAAGGTCATCATTCAGAGCCTAAATTAGAACTTAGCTCTCTCACACTACACCATCCAATAAATGAATAAAAGTAATTTCAATGTAGGCATTTGAAGCCCTTATATGAAGGGATTTAAGATATATCTTCAAGATTATGAAAAAAAGAAGAAGTTGAGGCAGAGGGAACAGCAGGAGTAAAAGTAAGGATCAGAAAAGTATCAGGTGCATTCACAGTCTAAGAATTTTTATGTGACTAAAATACTGGAGAGTAGCTCAGGAAAAAAAAACCTGAGAAAGCAGGTTATTACTAATTATGGCTTCAAAACTTTGCATCACTTTCCTCAAGCTAGAGTTCCTTAACCATTAACACAGTCCTCAACTGAATGTCCTGCTTGTCAGATTTTAGTTCTTACATTGTATCATGCATTCATCAGACCTTATTAGTAGCTAAAGTTCAGCAAATGCTTATTATGCTCTAAGCACTGTTCTAAGCACTTTACATGTATTAAGTAATTTCATCCTCATAAGCCCATGAGGTAGGTACTATTATTATCATCAACTTAGAGATGAAGTTAATTACACAAGATCAAGAAGCGGTAAAACTTGGATTTAAACCCAGGCAATCTAGCCCCAGAGCCTTAATTCTTAACCTGTGCTATGATATCCTTCAAGGAAAATCTTTTCACTTCCCCTATTAAAGTCTGAGTTCCTTGAAGGCCAAAATAATAACTTGTTTTTGTTATTGTTACTGTTAGGGGGAGAGAAGGGCCAAGTTTTATATCCTCAGCACATGGAATAGTTCCTGGTTCCCGGTACATTTAGGCACCTGTGAACATTTGTTTGCTGAATTGTCCTTGAATAACTGAGTCTCAGTTGTTCTTCCCATAGGTCAGAGGTGAGCAAATTATTCTGTAAAGGGCCAGACAATAACTACTTCAGACTTTGCAGGCCATGAGGTGCCTGTCACTGACGATTATTCATCGCTGCTCTTATTGAGCAGAAGCAACCACAGACAATTCATAAATAAGCTTGGCTCTGTTCCAGCGAGACTTTATTTACAAAGCAAAAACAGCAGGCTATTTGGCCCACAGGTTCCAGTTTGGTGACCCCTGCCACAGCTGAAAGGAATACAAGGATACTACAAAAACTTTGTGGAAAACTGAAATTCAAAGGTAAGTTTACTTTTTGGTGCAAAGATATCTTGACATCCATGCATATAAGGGATGTTCAAAAAGTTCACAGAAAGGTATATGATGAAAAAACTATGCATCACAAAAACATTTTTGTGTATCTTTTAATTCCATTTGTTCATGAACTTTTTTAAAGGACTATTGTACAAAAAAGGTTCCTAAACAGGCAGAGCAAAAGGGTTGTGCTTTCAGATTAACTGTCATCACACAGCAATGGAGCAGCACTAAGAGATTCAATACTGGAGTCAGAAGTAATGCCCCCCTTTCTTTTCTTTTATTTGTATAATCATTCTAGAACAGTGTTGCCCAATAGAGACACAATGCAGAATACAAATGTGAGCCATGTGTATGGTAATAAATTACCTAAAAGTCACATTAAAAAAGTTTAAAGTGAAAATTAATTTTAATACTATTTAATTAAACTCCAAAAGAGTGCCATTTTAACTCATTAACAATATAAAATTTTTATATTCTTCTTTTATAGCAAGTCTTCAAAATCTATGGTGCATTTTACACTTCCAGCACATCCATCTGGATCAGGTCCATTGCAAAATGTCCCATAACCAACCACATGCGGTTAATAGCTACCACACTGGACAGCACAAAACAATATACGACTAAAATAACCTACAGATTTCCATATGCAGCAGCTGATCTTGGTATCATCTCCGATCTGGCTTGCCCAGTGGTTATGGATCTAATTCTAAGCTATAAACTAATTTCACATTACTAACAACTTAATATATCAATGCCATCTCTTTTTTTATGTTGCATTTCCACACCATTTAGTTTTTACTTACATTTTCACACTCGAACTTCATTACAACTATGTGGATGGGCGTATTGGTATATCAGTTTCACAAATGAAGAGAGTTAACACTCTGAGAAGCTGAGAGTACTAGTGGCTGAACATCCTGGGAGGAGGGGCAATTAAGCCTCCCACCCTCAAGTCAAATCTCTTTTTTGAAGCCCAAATATCATCACCGCCTTACTCCAAGTGGCAATTCTACATTTATGGCGACACAAGCCTTTTTTTCCTCCATGAGACTGTAAAACTCAAGAAAAGGCCTTTTTCCTGGCCATCCTCAGTGCCCGGTAAGGTTTCGGTATTTCCTCAATGAAATAATAAAGTTTCTAATTTTCTCACTGCTGTCGGTTGAACGTTATTTTTATGTTTAAGTAACATGTGAACAGCTCAAAGTGCACCAACAAAATTACATTTTTTTTAGCTGTACCTTAAAAATTAGCTCCCAACATATTTCCAAGGAAAATGCGGGAAAGGCTGGGAGCCAGGCCTCGGTTCTGGTGCTGGCCCTGCCATGAACTCCCTCGGGCCTACTGAATCTTTCTGGGTTGGAGCGCTTATTTGTCAAAAAGGAGTAGGGATATCATCTCCACGATTCCCAGCAGAGCGGAGATTTTTTGATATTAACCTGGTGTGAGTCGGTTTCCCATATCCCCACACCCTTGGCGTCCCCCCTGCAACGGCCAACTCGGTGCGAGAGGTAACCCCTGGGTCCCAGCTGGGTTCCCTCTGAGCGCCCCCGGGGGCCGGCGAGACACCCAGCCTCAGGCCGGTGCCCACCGGCCAGGGCCGCCATCTTTCCCCACTGGCCCGACCACAACCGTCACCCGCGGGCACTGGCTGGCGCCGACCTCACCTCTCCTCGCAGTCTTTGCATTTCACCAGCAACGGAACCAGCTGCTGGAAGAGAACTTGGCTCATATTGGACCGCAGCCCCGGCCGATGCGCGGAAAAGTCCAAGAGGCCCTGCCCTCGGTACTAGCCCGAAAGGCGTCCGGGTTCTGATTAGAGTAGTTTGAGTTTGGCGCTCCGAAGCGGCGGAGTAGGCGGGGAAAGAGAAACAGGAGAGGCGTAAGAAGTTTGGACCTCGTCAGCCACCATCAGCTTCTTCCGGTTTTGGAGCCTGGGAAGAGCTGTTTCGGAAGTTCCGGGCATTAGCCTATGTGGCGGGACGTGAGGCCACCATGTTTGTTAAGGGAAGGGGACGCGGAGGAAGCTGACAAGTTTCCCTCTCGTCACTCTATGCTCGCCACCTGAAGCGGGTCCTGGATTATGGCGGCTTCTGCGCCCACCCCGCCGGCGACTGGTTTTCCAGCGGAAGGTAGATGCGGTTACTTTGTGGAAAAGAAGAAGCGGTTCTGCAGGATGGTGGTGGCCGCCGGGAAAAGGTTCTGTGGCGAACACGCCGGAGCCGCGGAGGTCTGGTATCGCCCTACTCTCCCGAGATTCGGAAATAAGTTTCTCTGTCCCGTCGGTGCTGGAACCCCGCCCCTCCCCTCTTTGACAGGTTTCTGCTTCTGTGCCCTGGATTCTCCACCGTTTGTTTTAAATGAACGCAGTTCTCACCCTGCGGAGCAGTGATGAGCAGTGTGTTCTGTTCTTTCAGTAAATGAAAGGCTAGCCGTGGTCCGTTTACCTCGATCCTAAATCGTGCTAATGCTAGATTTTAATTTTACTCCTTGCACTCTGCACCCCTCTGCTGTCCTAATGGGAAATGATAGTTGAGAAAAAGTAGTGATGGAAGTCCCGAGAACACTGATCTAAGCATTGTTTCGTGGACAGTAGCCACTTTTCATGAATGCGGTTGAGGATCTTTAAAAATGTATTTACATTTAAAATCCTTAGAAAGCGATTTATGACTAGTTTGCTTACATGCGGAAGGAAAAAATTTTAAATGTATAAGAACTGTCCTTTTAGAATAGAAAAATGTAGAATTTTGTGTGATAATACTGTTATAATTGTGCTATGGAACAATTCTGTATCACTTTAGAAGATACACATACATATATGTGATAAGAAAGTAAGAGTAGGTGCTGAAAGAAAGAGCATAACTGATAAGATTAGAAAGAATAAACCAGATAGACCAGCATCTGGTTCATGCCTTTAATATAATTTGTGTTCCTTTCTTAGTTTATGCTTCTAGTAATATCCCGTGTCAGTCTGTCTCCTGGACCCCTTCCCCTGCTACTGTCCGTCATAGCCATGACTTACTTCCTATTTTAGTTTGACTGATATTTACCTAGAGTGAAGCATACTGAAACAAGCACCTTCGTGTTTTGGAGTTTGAGAGAGCGGCTTATTGCAGGAACTCTGAAATATACCCAGATGTATTCGTTGGTTTTGAGGGAACAGCAAACATTCCTTTGTTGAAGAATGAGATTCTTGATTGTAAGAGTTTGTTCCACCTCTGTTACAAGACTTTAGACTTCACCTTATTCAGATATCTGGAAGGCGTCTGCAGAGAGTGATAGTAATAGGACATGGATAAGTCCTTACAAGCTGGTTGGTATTCCTGGAGTGGAATGACAGCTAGTTATTAGTCCCTTAAAGAAAGACTGGAAAGACCAAATAGAAACACTTTCCAAGGCCATGCTTAGATTTTTAATTGTGGCCATCTTCCTGAATCTGTAATTTTTGATGGAACTAGGTATTGTGACTTTTATCTTTTTTTAAAAAAATCATATATATGATAATATTACTTGTACTAATTTTTTCTAGTGGTTTTCAGGGATAATTTTGTCTCAAGGTGGATACCTGGCAATGTCTAAAGACATTTTTTAGGGCTGGTGTTGTGGCGTAGTGTGTGAAGCAGCCACGTAAGACACTGGCATCCCATATGGGCACTAGTTATTCCACTTCCAATCCAGCTCCCTGCAAATGGTCTGGGAAAAGCAGGAGAAGTTGGGCCCCTGCTACCCATATGGGAGACCTGTAAGAAGCTCCTGGCTGCCACCTGGCCCAGCCCCAGCTGTAGCAGCCATCTGGGAAGTGAACCAGGGGCTGGAAGATCTCACTCTCTCCCTCTCTCTCTCTCTCTATGGCTCTGCTCCTCTCTGTATCTCTCACTTTCATATAAATAAATCTTTTTTTTTTTTTTTTGACAGGCAGAGTGGACAGTGAGAGAGTGAGAGAGAGAGAGAGACAGAGAGAAAGGTCTTCCTTTTTTTTTTTTTTGCCGTTGGTTCACCCTCCAATGGCCGCCACGGCCGGCGCATCGCGCTGATCCGAAGCCAGGAGCCAGGTGCCTTTCCTGGTCTCCCATGCGGGTGCAGGGCCCAAGCACTTGGGCCATCCTCCACTGCACTCCCTGGCCATAGCAGAGAGCTGGCCTGGAAGAGGGGCAACCGGGACAGAATCCGGTGCCCTGACTGGGACTAGAACCCGGTGTGCCGGCGCTGCAAGGCGGAGGATTAGCCTATTGAGCCACAGCGCCGTCCCCATAAATCTTTTTTTCAAAAACTTTATTTGAGAGGTAGAGTTACAGAGAGAGGGGAGACAGAGAAAAGTCTTCCATCTGCTGGTTTACTCCCCAAGCTGCTGCAACAGCTGGAGCTGGGCCAATCTGAAGCCAGAAGCCAGGAGCTTCTTCCGGGTCTCCCACATGGGTGCAAGGGCCCAAGCACTTGGGCCATCTTCTACTGCTTTTCCAGGTTAGAAGTAGAGAGCTGGATAGGAAGAGAAGCAGCCGGGATGTGAACTGTTGCCCATATGGGATCCTGGCATGTAGGCGGAGGCTTAGCCTACAATGCCACAGTGCCAGCCCCAAAATAAATAAATCTTTTAAAAAAAAATGACATTTTGGTTGTCACAAATGGAGGGCATTACTGGCATCTTAGGGGTAGAGGCCAGAGAAGCAGCTAAGCCTTTTACAAGGCACAGGACAACCTCTACCCCACCCAAAAAATTACCCAACCCATAATGTGTATAGTGCCAAGGTTGAGAAACTGTTTTTCACCTCAAACAAATTTTATTTTATTTTTTAAAGATTTTCTCATTTTTAGAAAGGTGAAATGATAAAGAAAGGAAAAGAGAGAGAGAGAGAGAGAGAGAGAGATCGATCGTCCATTGGCTGGATCACTTTACAAATGTTTGTAAGCCAGGCTGAAGCCAAGAGCCAGAAACTCCATCCTGGTCTCTCTCTCTTTCTCTCCTTCTTCTTCTTCTTCTTCTTCTTTTTTTTTTTTTTTTTTTTTTTTTAAGATTTATTTATTTAGTTGAAAGAGTTACAGAGAGGTGGGGGAAAGACAGAAGGAGAGAAAAGATCTTTCTTCTACAGATTTACTCCCTAGGTAGCTGCAATGGCTGGGGCTGGGCCAGTTCGAATCCAGGAGCCAGGAGCTTCTTCTGGGTCTCTCATGTGGCTAGCAGGGCCCCAGGCAGTTGGGTCATCTTCTGCTGTTTTTTCCAGGCCATTAGCAGGGAGCAGGATCAGAAGCTAAGCAGCCGGGACTCAAACGGACGCCAGCATCACAGGCAGTGGCTTTACTGGCTATGCCACAACACTGGCCTCCATCCTAGGATCTCACATGGGTAGCAGGAACCTGGGTACTTGGACTGTCTGCTTCCTCCTGCTTGCCTTAGCAGGAAGCTGGATCAGAAACAGAGTAGCCAGTACTGAAACCAGGTCTCTGATACAGGATGTGGATATCCCAAGTGGCAGCTTAACCATCTGCCATATCACCTACCCCCAAGTTTTAAAGGGCTTTTGGTTTTTCTTTTGTATGGTTATGCTTTGAGAATTAGAATAGTTTTCCCTTAGGTGGAGGCCAGATTTTAAAATTAGCAAGTAAGAGAGAAATACAGTATTTTCAAAAAAAAAAAAGTTATTGAAAAATGTTGTTGGTTTCCTGTGAAATTCTACATACTTAGTTTCATTGACACAGTGAGAGGTATATCAAAGTAAGTAATAGCAAATATATGATCAGCAATTTACTCTTTGGCCAGCACTGTGCTTAATAATGTTGTTTTAACTATTCACTCACTTAATCTTAACAAATCTGAGGTAAGACTTACTATTTTCATCTTTCAGATGAGGCAATAAGCCTACCTGAGTTATAGGGCCAGTAGGTGATTTAGAGCTAGGAATCCTACAATCCAGATGCATCTTAAATCAATGTGTTATAATTTAAATGGACAACATTTTCCACAAAAAGAAATAAGTATTTAAGGTAATACATATGTTAGTTAGCTCAATATAGCCATTTTACAATGTGTAGATATTTAAAAATATCTTCTTTTACATGATAAATATAATTTTTATTTGTTTAAAAAATTTAAATGAATGGATAGCATTTTTCTTTGGTGGTGCGTAAAATAATCATACATATTGTATTTGATGCTATCTTAGATTCAAAAATCCCATATTTATAGGCCTTTTCTAAATCCTGTTTGAAGTTATAGAATTTGTTTTTTCCAAAGCAGTATGTGTTCTTAAATACACAAGCCACCCACACTGGAGATTTTTTTTTCTTGTTGTTAAACTCTATTTTGATCTGATTTTGCCTGTTTTTCGTTATGTTCTTTTAAAGTTTCTTTATGTTAGTATGGGAATGCAGATACAATGAAGTTGTATGTAGTATCTGTAAGTAACAATTTTATTTAAATGAATGTGTCTCTTTTAATTTATTAGGAAGAAAATACTCGTAAAAGAATCCTGTGTCCTTTAGATCCAAAACAGTAAGTATGGATCCAACAAAGGATTTTCTTTGCTGAATAAGGATTTTCTTTGCTGAAATTGTCAATCTTCTTATTTTAAACAATTTTCTCTTTCAATTTAGCACAGTATATGAAGATCAGCTAGCAAAGCATTTGAAAAAATGTAACGCAAGAGAGAAGCCAAAACCTGTAAGTGTTTTTTTTTTTTTAATTTAACAAGACTGTTGCTTCAAGTCCTAAATTTGGTAAATGCATTTTGAGTGTAGATAGGATATCAGACTATAAATCCTCATATGGTACTAATTTAGAGAATAGAATTTTATGGAACATGGGTGTTCAGAGAATAATTTCACTATTTATTGAAAAATAATTACTTAGTATGTACTAAATTTATTTCAGTAAGATATCACCCTGCTCTTCAAGGAAGTTATTTGAGACTGGTCAATAAACTTATAAATAAGGAATCTTATTCAATAATATCAGTGAGGGATAGGCGTGTGATACTATGATTAAGTCACTGCTTGGGACACCTGCATTGCATTTGAGTGCCTGGTTCAACTCTCAGCTACTCTGCTTGCAATCCAGCTTCCTGCTAATGCACACCTGAGGAGGTAGCAGATGCTGATCCAAGTACTTGGGTCCCTGCCACCCACACAGGAGACCTGGGTGAAGTTCCAGTCTCCTGGGTTCAGCCTGGCGTGGCTTTAGCTATTCCGAGCATTTGTGGAATGAACCAGTGGATAGAAGATCTTTCTTCATCTCTCTGTCTCTGTCTCTCTTTCTTCTGCCTTTCAAATAAAATGAAAATAATAATAATAATAATATCAGTGAAAGAAATAAGCACAATGTGATGAGTGCACATTCTTTTTTTTTTTTCTCCCAAAGATTTTATTATTTGAGAGACAGCATACAGAGACAGGGAGAGACAGAAAAGTCTTCCATCTGCTGGTTCACTCCCCAAATGGCCACAATGGCCAGAGCTGGGACAATCTGAAACCAAGAACCAGGAGCTTCTTCCAGATCTCCCACATGGGTGCAGGGGCCCAAGCACTTGGACCATCTTCTACTGCTTTCCCAGGCCATAAGCAGAGAGCTGGATTGGAAGAGAAGCATCTGGGACATGAACCAGCGCACATATGGGATACTGGCACCAAAGATAGAGGCTTAGCTTACTATACCACAGTGCCAGCCCAATGAGATCACATTCTTGCATCAAACTGAAAATTAAATGCAGGGTTAAGAAAGGCTTTCCACGGCCAGCGCTGCGGCTCAATAGGCTAATCCTCTGCCTGCGGCGCTGGCACCCCGGTTCTAGTCCTGGTCGGGGTGCCAGATTCTGTCCCGGTTGCTCCTCTTCCAGTCCAGCTCTCTGCTGTGGCCCGGGAGTGCAGTGGAGGATGGCGCAAGTCCTCGGGCCCTGCACCTGCTTGGGAGACCAGGAGGAAGCACCTGGCTCCTGGCTTCAGATTGGCGCAGTACGCCAGCCGCAGCAGCCATTGGGGGGTGAACCAACGGAAAAAGGAAGACCTTTGTCTCTCTCTCACTGTCCACTCTGCCTGTCAAAAAAAAAAAAAAAAAAAAAAAAAAGCTTTCCAGACAGAATGACACGCTGAGTCTTGATTTGGCAAAGAAAAGGAGGAGTCTCAGGTAGATAGGACAATATATATGATTACGGAACTGAGAAACCACATGCTTTCAGTAAATCTTAACTGGGTTCTTAAGAACATCAGGAATGATGATGTCAGATTTGCCTCTTAGGAAGTTTTATTTTATAGCAGTTTGGGAGGATAGCTTTGAAGGCTGTTACTGAAGTCTAGGTGAGACTGAATTAAAGAAAATGGAAAGGGTAAGGATAACTGCAGGAATTATTTAGGTAACAGAACTGGTGAAACTTAGTGCCTGATTTGAAATTCGGAGTTGAATATGTGGGTCAGAAATTCAATAAAGAGATTGGGCAGGTAATCAGCATTTGGAATTCAAGTACATAAGTGACACTGATATTAAAGAATAAGCTGCTAATAGGAACAATAGAAAAAGATTGAGAAGCATGGCTGAAGAGGTAGGAAAGAGGAAAAACTAGGAGAGTATGATATATGAGAAGCCAAAAGATGAAAAATTTCAAAAAGGAAAATGATCAACATTATCTGACACCACAGAAGAATCAAGTACAGGTAAGGATGGAAAAGAATCCATCAGATTGGCAGTATGATTGTTAAAGATCAAAGACCTTAGTAAATTGTATATTTAATAGGCTGGGGAGGGTAGAAATCGGTATGGAATGATATATAAAAATTGGTAGATGAGGCAAGAAAAATTACAAGCATAGATTTTTTTTAAGAAACTGGGCTATGAGTAGAATTTGTGCTTTTCTTATTGAAGTAAGAGAAAGTAGTGATTGAAGAGGATGATGGTACTATAGTATATTTGAAGATAGAAGTAAAAGTTTATTAGGGTTATTGGGAAAAGGCATTGAGGTACAGCATGTTAAGCTGCCACTTGGGACACCCCAGTGTGCCTGGGATTGAGTCCTGACTCTGCTTCTGATCCAACTTTCTGATAATGTGCATCCTAGGAGCACTGAGTAATGGCTCAATTACCTGGGCCTCTGCCTCCCCCATGGGAGACTTGGTTGGAGTTCCAGGCTCCTGCCTTTGGCCTGGCCTAGCTTTGACTGATATGGGGATTTGGGGAATGAACCAGCAGATAGAAGATCTATCTTTGTCTCTCCATGTCTGTCTGTCTGTCTGTCTTTCCCCCTCTGTTCTGCCTTTCAAATAAGTAAAAATTAAAAAAAAATAGGTTGTGAAGAATAATTGCTGGGCATCTTTAAAGTTCAGATTGATTGTATAAATAATGAATTTGCACTGGTGCCAGTCCAAATGACTAGGTAATTTTTCATTGGTGGGTTCAACAAGCCAGATACTGTAGTTGATCGACATATTAATAAAGGCATTAGGCTTTGCAAGGGTAGGTATGACAAAAGGACCAGACTGTGAAAGATAATGAAGAGTGGGTATCTAGATTGGATGACCTGAAACGGAAGCCAGAAATTAGCTGAAAAATAGAGATCTTTAAAAGGTAGAATATGATTACGAGGGCCAGTGATATGGCACAGCAGGTTAAAGCACCGGCCTGCAGTGCTTGCATCGCATATGGGCGTGGGTTCAATTCCCAGCTGTTCCACTTCCAATCCAGCTCTCTGCTATGGCCTGGGAAAGCAGTAGAAGATGGCCCAAGTCCATGGGCCCCTGCACCCATGTGGGAGAACCAGGAGAAGCTCCTGGGCTCCTGGCTTCAGATTGGCCCAGCTCCAGCCGTTGTGGCCATTTGGGGAATGAACCAGCAGATGGAAGACCTTTCTCTGTCTCTACCTCTCCCTCTGTAACTCTTTCAAATAAATAAAGTAAATATTTAAGAACAAGAGAATCAAAAGAACATGTTTGGAGCTCTTATTTATAAGGGTGAATTCTCAGCACCTAAAGCAAAATAGGGACCATATTAGGTATTTGTTTAATAATTGTTTAATGAATAAATTAATGGGAGGAAGGGAAAATGACAGGTTTGGAGTGTGGATAAGGATAAGAATTAGTTTTGAGCTTAATTTTTGTGAGCTTCACCTAATTAACAATGTTGTCATGGTTTTGTTTTTGTTAAGGATTTCTTTATTCAAGATATTAATGCAGGCTTAACAGATGAAACAGAAATACTCGAACAATTAGTAAGTACATTGACAATATTTAATTTTACAAGGTATTTACAAACTTTCCAAGTTGTGAATAAGCAATGTTTCCATTTTTGTTTGGAATATATCCATTTAGAATGCATTTTCCTGTATAATCAGTATGATTTGTGATGGTTAGTTCTTAAGACAACTCATGCCCCTTAACAAGCTACAGCATTTCTCAGAGTCCTCTTTGATTCTTGAACCATTCTGACACTAGACTTGTTCTTGACCCTGAGGAGGGTAGGAAAAGTAAAGAAACTTAGTGGTTGGGCATTTCTGATGGAAGCATAGAGAAAAGGTTTTTAGGAAGAAGAGCTTACACTGCCGTAGGAACTGCTCAACTTTTAAGCATCTACTCAGTCTTTGGGTTACTAATTCAAACCATTTCTTGTCTACATTATTTAGTTTTATTTTTGGTTATAGGTCCCAATTTCTTCTCTATCTGAAGAGCAGTTGGAAAACTTAATTAAGAAATTGAGGAAAGCAAGTGAAGGTAAGTCTGCCTAAAATTGCAAGTTCACCTATTTTAGAGTAATCAGATGGTGAATGAGTTGACAGTATTCTGGAACCATTGTTCAGAGTTCTACACTTTCATGTTTGGTTGCTTTAGCTGTTGTGTTTATATTTGGCACAGGTTTGAATTCTACACTTAAGCATCATATTATGTCCCATCCAGCATTACATGATGCCCTTAACGACCCTAATAATGGTGATTCTGCAACCAAGCACCTGAAACAGCAGGTATGTTTAGTTCAAATTAACTCTGCTGAAAATAGCCTCTGCTCATTTGTTAAAACCTAACATTCTGTTCTTCCTCTATATAGTTTATTAATGAGATTTTATTTGGTTTATCTTTCATGATATAACATTTTAATTCAAAAATATGTTTAAAATATGTTTTAAAAATTTTGGTATAATATGATTCTGAGTACTGAGTATTAAATATTAAAAACAGCAGAAAAATTTAAAGCCAAATATAAGTTGTCATTGTGAACATACTACCATAGCAGAAAGTACTTGCTGTCTTCCCATTTGAGCCAAATGTGTCTACTCTAGTTTATAAAATAATCTTGTGAAGTGTGCAGGCTTCTATTTTAGGTAACATTGAAAAATTAAAGTTACTTGGTCCAAGAAGATGTTTTGTTGAGTTTGGAGCAGGAAAGGGAAAATTATCTCATTGGGTTGATATTGCCTTAAAAGATGCTGAAAAAGTTCACTTCATCCTTGTAGAAAAGGGGACCACAAGATTCAAGGTAAGTGAAAGTAATATAAGTGAAGTATTTTTTCTATGTAGAAAAGAGATACAAATATGTCTCTTAAAAATGAAATTACTATTTTGTGTATTTGATAGCTTTTATCAGTTTGGGTTATGTTGGTGATTTTTAGGTAAATTTTTTTACCCCTACATTTTGATAATCCAAGTTCTGAGTTTTTTTGTTTGTTTCTTGTTTTAGCTTTATTTTTTTAAGATTCTTTTATTTATTTCAAAGGAAGAAATGCAGAGAGAGAGAGATCTTGCATCCACTGGTTCGCTCCCCAAATGGCCACAACAGCCAAGGATTGGGCCAGGCAAAAGGCAGGAGACAGGAGCTTCTTCCGGGTCTCCCACATGGGTACAAGGGCCCAAGTACTGGGCCAACTTCTGCTGATTTCCTGGACACATTAGCAGGGAGCTGGATCAGAAGTAGAGCAGCCAGAGCCAGAGCTTTAGGCAGTGCTCGTATGGGATGCTGACACTGCAGATGGAGACTTAACCTCTGTGCCACAGTGCCAGACCCCATGATGTGAGTTCTTAGAATTACTTGCAGACACATGAAAATACAACAATACTCTTAAAAGGTAGTGGAAAACAATTTAAAAATGTTTATTTTGGTTGATGCAAAAAAATTTGATATTCTTTGTTTGGGGCTGGTGTTGTGATGCAGTGGGTTAAGCCAGTTCTTACAACACTTGCATCCTATCTTGGACGTGTTCCACTTTCTATCCATCTCCCTACTAATGTGTCTAGGAGAGCAGTCGCAGGTGGCCCAACTCCTTGTGCTTTTGCCGCCCACATGAGTTCCAGGTTATAGGCTTTGGCCTAGCAAGCCTTGGCCATTGCACCCATTTGGTGAGTGAACTAGAGAATGGAGGATTTGTTTCTCTCTCTCTGTCTCTCCTTCTATGTCACTCTACCTCTCAAATAAATAAAACAAATATTTAAAAAAATTGAAATCCCTGCATTGTTTTTTCATAATACACATTTTTTGAACTGTTACAAAACTCCTTGTATGTAGAAAGAGCCAAGCTCTAGCTAAGAGTGAAAAATCCTGAGAACTACTTCTCTTGCTACTTAGTGTGATTTATTCAGTAAACATTTATTGAGCATACTGTCAGATACCATGATACTGAATATAAAAATTAAGTAAGACAAGGTCCCTATGCTCATTATATATGTTTAGAAAGGAGAGACAAGCAAATAAATCAATAATTGTAGTAAACTATTAAAATATGAAAAATGCACAGAGTACAGGTTAAGTTCAAAGGAATGAATGACAGGTTTTATTGCAAAGAAAGGATGGAGAATGACGACATAGAAAAGGTGATGCTTGAGCTAGATCTCCTAAAGTGAATTATTATTTGCTACTTAGAGGATTAGAGAAGCATTCTAGGAAGTAAGAACAATGTAACCAAGTGCCTGAAACAACAGGGAAACATTTCTCTGATAGGAACTCAAATACACTTCAAAAGGTTCCTGGAAAGTGGAATTAAAGTTTATTTTGGCACTAAATAACTTTGAAACCCATGCATAGTTTTTTTTCATAAGATGAATTTTTTCATGACTTTATTGAAGTATGCTCAGACGTGATGTGAGTAAAGTTCAGCAGTGATGAGACAGGAAAAGGGGACTAACCTGTGGAAGGAGTTTGACTCTTTCCTGCTGTGTGCTGGAGATAACAGGAAACAAGGTTTATTTCTTGCCTTCAAGCTTGCATCTAGTGGGGCAGACATTACAGATTTTGGTTCATTATGCTAAGTATGTTTTAATGGTAAGTCCTGATTGCTATGGGAGCATGAAGGTAGAGAACCAACCTCAGTCTAGTATGGGTCATAGGTTTCAGTTGAGAGAAGATTGGAAGAGTATATAAGCACTGGTAGTATAAAAAAGGGTTTTTAGAAGTTTATTTTAGAAGCAGTATTAAAGCCATGTCAGAAGAATCTGAGACTTGAGTAGAGAGATAATAACAACATGCTTTTATCAAATAATCCAAGTAAGAAATGGACCAGAGTTAAGGCTATTGTAGTGGAATGGAGAGAAAGGGAAGAGTTTGAGAAATGTTAAGATTTTGAAAGCCACAAGACTTGGTGATTTCTTCATTCAGTTATTTTGGGTGGCATTTTTATTGGCAAAATGATTAAATGTTGCTCTTTGAGATAGGAAATAAAGGAGAAGGAAGATGAAAGATGGATTTGGAGAGAAAAGTAATAGTTCAGCTCTGGCCAGTTTGCAATGCAAGTTAAGTTCACAATTGGGTATGTGTCTGATGCTTATCAGGATTCTGGGCCAAAGATGGAGAACTGTGAATCTTAGGTACATGGATATGATGTAGAGTGGTTGTGATCTTTCAGGGAGAAGAGGAAGTGGAGCAAGACAAAAATACTACACAAGGGTGAAAAAGATAATACAGCAACTAATCCATCATCAGATGAATGGATAAAGAAAATGTGTATATATATCCACAATGGGGTATTTATTGTTTAGCTATAAAAAAAAGAATGAAATTTTATCATTTGCAGCATTATGGTTAGAACTGGAAGAGATATGTTAAATGAAATAAGGTAGACACAGAAAGACAAATACTGCATGTTCTCCCTTATGTGTGAGAAAGAAAAAAAAGAGTTCTTTGTATTTGTTTCTTCCCATAACAAAGATTAAGTTCTGGATATAATTTTTTAAAATCTGGTAAGTAATCTTAGATAAGCCACTTAACATCTGTGAACCTCATTCTTTATGGGTGAATTGGGAATTTTTAAGGTTAAAGGAAATAATTCTGCATAATAATTGATAAAATATTCAGCCTTATAAAAATATGTGGTAATATTTTGGAGTTTTTTCAAAAAATATATAATCTTAAAATTTTGTATTATGCTTTTTCAGTACTAAAAAATAAGATCAAAATTTGCTCAATTTGGAGAACAAAAACATTTTCATAAAGTTGATGTTCTGTTTGTACAGGTAGATGGTAAACACAGAAAGAAAAACTCAGTATTTGAAAGACTGCAAATTGATATTCAACACTTGTGTCTGAGTAAGTTGCATAACTTTCCGTTGCTCTAACTGTAAATCATAGAAGTTTCTAACTTTGAGGGTTGCTTAGAAATCCAGTCATGCAGAAGACTGCTTCAGGAAAAACAAGGTAAAGTTAATCTATTGTGTTTTTTGGTTTTTTGTTTTTTTTGTTTGTTTGTTTGGACAGGCAGAGTGGACAGTGAGAGAGACAGACAGACAGACAGAGAGAAAGGTCTTCCTTTTCTGTTGGTTCACCCCCCCAATGGCTGCTGCGGCTCGCGCACCGCGCTGATCCGAAGCCAGGAGCCAGGTGCTTCTCCCGGTCTCCCATGTGGGTGCAGCGCCCAAGCACTTGGGCCATCCTCCACTGCACTCCCGGGCCACAGCAGAGAGTTGGACTGGAAGAGGAGCAACTGGGACAGGACCGGCGCCCCAACCGGGACTAGAACCCGGGGTGCCGGCGCCGCAAGCAGAGGATTAGCCTATTGAGCCAGCCAATCTATTGTTAATAGAATGTTATTTATAACATTTAAATGTAAATTAAGGGGTTGATGCTGTGCCATATCTGTGGCATAGCGGCCTGCAATTCGGCATCCCATGTGGACGCTGGTTCGAGTTCTGGCTGCTTCACTTCCGATCCAGCTCTCTGCAATGGCCTGAGAAAGCAGTAGAGGATGGCCCAGGTCCTTGGGCCCCTGCACCCATGTGGAAGACCCAGAAGAAGCTCCTGGCTCCTGGCTTCGGATTGGCACTGCTCCAGCCATTGTGGCCAATTGGGGAGTGAACCGGCGGATGGATGACTGCTCTCCCTCTCTCTGTGCCTCTCCTTCTCTCTCTGGGTAACTCTGACTTTCAAATAAATAAATAAATCTTTTTTTAAAAAATGTAAATTGAATTAGGATTTAAATTTTTAAACATTGTTTCTCAGTGTCAACTGAATGTTACATTAGGCTAGAATTTAGGTTTCTATAATATGTCCTATGTTGCTTCTTTGTCCTGTTTAATTTTGGATCTGTTCATAAATAAACTATCCTGCTGCCTTTAGTTAATATGACTTTGCTTTAGCCATTGTAAGAAATAAGATGGTTCTCTGCCTAACTACTATGTAAAAAATGCCTTCTAGAATTTTAAATTATATCCAAGAAAGTAATCACAATGATACTCACATTCCATACACCTATATTCTCTCTCCCCATCCTGTGCTTCCCTCTTCTCTCTTCTTCTCTCCTCCCCTTCCTCTCCTCTCTTAAACATTCTTTTTAGTGCCCTTTCTAAATCTTTTCTGTAGTTTTTTATGTTAAACAGAAAATAATGCAAACTTATCCCAGCAAGCTCTTCCTTCCACTCATTGTTAGCCAGCCTTGAAAAGTACCTCAGCACATGAATACATCACTGTAGTTTGAATTATTTGACTGAATGTATTACTTTTCTGATGGCATAAACTCCAAAAATAAATTTCTGTGCTGTATGTTTAATTCCATAAAAGGACAATTTTTTTGTCTGAGTCTATTTCAGTCCTAAAGCTCAAAGATTCTAATCAATTCTGTTTTTAAGAGCACTATGTTATAATACTTTATCTAACAAGACAGATTACTTAATTCTCATTTCCTTTTATTTCAGACAAAATTCCTGTGCTGAGGGAAGGAAAACTACCTGTGGTAGGAATTGGAAAGCATCTGTGTGGAGTGGCAACAGGTATGTAAATATATTCATGATGCTTAAGTTATCTTAAAATTTAGCTTAACACAGCCCAAGCCATTTCAGTAGCTTCTTTTGAATGGTATGGATTTCTTATGTTTATAACTCATTCATCTTCCTGAAAAGGGTTTCATCAAATATGGATTTTTCCTACTTATCTGCTCATTTTGGACATTTTGCAAGATGACTTAAGAGTTCTTTATGTAAATACTGTGTCATATGAGACCTTAGAATACTTTATTTTTAGACTTTTTTAGAGATTTATTTATTTATTTGAAAGGCAGAGTTAGAGAGACAGGGAACGACTCCCCAAAAGGCCACAATGACTGGGGCTGTGCCAGCCAGGAGCCAGGAGCCTCCTCTGGGTTTCCCACGTGGGTGCAGGGCTCCTAAGACTTGGGCCGTCCTCCGCTCTCCCAGGAGCATTAGCAGGGACTTGGATTGAAAGTGGAGCAGCTGGGACTCAAACTGGCACCCATATGGGATTCTGATACTCAGGCCATAGCTTTAACCCACTGCGCTACAGCACCAACTCCAACCTCAGAATTCTTTGGGTTATGTTTCAACAAAAAAGGAAATGAATCACTTATGATTCCATCCCAGGAGGTTTTTTAGAGAAGATGCTTGGGAAGAACTCTGAAACCTCTCTCACTAGAAGATTACAGTGTTTTAGGATTCTGAGCAAAAAGAAAAAAAATTTTAGACCAAAAAATCTAAGATGTCTGCTCCTTCTCTTCATCAGCTTGATAAAGTGGAAACAGTCCAGCCTTTGGCTCTGATGGATAATAATAACAAATTATTCCGGGGCCAGCGCAGTGGTGCAGTGGGTTAATGCCCTAGCCTGAAGCGCTGGCATCCCATATGGGTGCCGGTTCGAGACCCAGCTGCTCCACTTCTGATCCAGCTCTCTGCTATGGCTTGGGAAAGCAGTAGAAAATGGGTCAAGTCCTCCTGGTTTCGGATCGGCGCAGTTCTGGCCATTGCTGCCAGCTGGGAAATGAACCATCAGATGGAAGACCTCTTTCTCTCTCTCTCTTTCTCTCTGAACCAACGGAAGGAGGACCTTTCTCTCTGTCTATAGCTCTACCTGTCAAATAAAGAAAAAAAGAAAAAGCCATGTGAAGTAAACCAGTTCCATCTTGGATGGAAGGAAAACCTACTCCTTTGACTCCTCCCATCAGAGACCACCTTTCATGTCCCACACACTTTTTGTTGTTTCACTCTGAATTCTTCCTTCATCTCTGCTGCAATTGCTACCCTTCTTGAAATTCTCTTTTGTTGCATTCTTCTCTCTTGTTCTTCCCCTACAGTTGTGCCCTTTTTTTTTTTTGTTTCTTTCATGTTCTCTACTACCTGTCATTTACATATTAATATTCACATCTATCTGCTATAACCTAATATGTCTTTCCCTCTCCTTATACTCTTCAGTAGCTCCCAGTGACCTACAGGATGAAGTCTAAGCCCTTAAACTTGACCTCATAGCTTCAGTCTGGGTTCTTCTTTCCTATCACTATTTCCTGCTTCCAGATTTACTGTTCAGCAATATCAAATCCTGTGTATTTTTTCACACACCAAACTGTTTCTGCTATACCTGGGATTTGGATTCCACTGTCACCCAAACCAACAAAAATGTCTCCTTCAGCTCAGTTGTCACCACTTTCAGGGAGCCACCCTAAATATACATCTGGTTAATGTTACCATAAAATTTTGCATATATTTACCTTATTGTTTTTAATGATTTGTTTATATGTCTTATTCTTCCACAATGCTGTGAAGTTTTTGAGCTTAGAGCATCTGATATAATACTTAGTATATAACAAAAATTCAGTAAATGAATGAATGATTTACTTGGCTAATAATTTGCTGTGTTTTCTTGTCCACTTTAGGTATGTGGCTTTGTCTGTTAAGTTCTCTAGAAAGGACAGGTTGAGATAGATTACTAATAAAGCTTCTTCTAATTCTGAAATCACTTAATTTTTTTAATAATTTTCTGGTTATTTGTATTTCTGAAAATCATACATACAAGTCAAATATGAGTAAAGTAGTGACTGGATATATATATATAGTAATAATATTTATGAAAAATAGATAAACTATTCATGCTTCAAGTAATAGATTCCCAGTGTTTGTTTACTGAAATTTGTATTCTACTGTTCAGTAGTAAAATATCAGATCATTTAACATTCAATTGTGACATTTTAAATTATGAAGTTTAAAAAATATATATCTGTTCTTGATAGATAAGACACAACTAATCAGAAAATATGGGTCTTCTTGTGTACAAGTGTATTTGTGGTCTTTCTAAAATTATTAATGTTAGAGTTTTCAATGGAAAATAGCCACAGTCATCAAAAGTCCAGTAGTTTTAGTTTTAAAGTGAACTAAAAATTTTTCATTTGAATATGACTGTATCTACCTCTGTGTATGTATGAATATTGCATCCTCAGTGCTTTGCACATGAAAGGCATTCAGTAAGTATTTGCTGAATGAATGCGTAAATATAGAAGGCTGCTGAGTGAGCCCTACTTTCCAAATTCTTTTTTTTATTTATTTATTTATTTATTTTGTCAGGTAGAGTTAGACAGTGAAAGAGAGAGAGACAGAAAGAGAGAGACAGAGAGAAAGGTCTTCCTTCTGTTGGTTCACTCCCCTAATGGCCATCACAGCCAGCGCTGTGCTGATCCGAAGCCAGGAGCCGAGTTCTTCCTCCCAGTCTCCCATGCGGGTGCAGGGCCCAAGCACTTGGGCCATCCTTCGCTGCCCTCCTGGGCCACAGCAGAGAGCTGGACTGGAAGAGGAGCAACCAGGACTAGAACCCGGGGTGCCGGTGCCGCGGCAAGATTAGCCAAGTAAGTCACGGCACCGGCCCCTACTTTCCAAATTCTACACCTTTGCTCAACTCATCAGTTACCTTTCACTATAAACATCTTACATTTCAAGATAGTGTCCTGATCCAGCATCAGTATGCTGAGCAGAGCTGCCTTTCATTATTTCTTTCTTTGGGTTTTTTAAGCTCAAAACTTCCCTAGAATTTTAGTATAGGCAAATAGATTTTTCTATGCAAGTTATTTCCTTAGGTAAGTTAGGAGCAATGAGAGACAATTCAAGTTGATGGACTAAAAGTTTTTCAAATTGTAGCTCTTAAAGGAGGTGGGCTTTATGCAGAATAAATCATCAGAGAAATTGAGAGGATACTGTCTTACTAAGAAAAGAGGAAATTTGAAGGAAATTTGATAATTCATGGTAGAATTATTAGCAGTATAAAGCTAAATCAGTTTTTGATGGTTTTGTTTTTGGGTTTTTAAAAAACATACTGCTTAATGAATGTAAAATATGTTTATTTTTAAAGATGATATGGTTGGGGGGCACATAATTGTATTTGCAGATCTTGCATTACGATGTTTGATTGAAACCTATGCTGCCAGTTGTGAGGAAAGAAATGAAGAGCCTTTAGCCAAACGCATAAAGAATGATAAAACAGAAAAAGAAATTAACACTTTGGCCAAGGAAAGAAATGAAAATATTGTTCCAGAGAAGTGGACCCCTGTGGCTGGCATTGTTATTGCACTCTGTTGTCACCACAGGTGTGATTGGAGACATTATGTGGGCAAAGAATATTTCAGGACTTTAGGCCTGGGAGCAGTGGAATTCCACTATTTCCAGCGAATGAGTAGCTGGGCGACTTGTGGGATGCGGAAGACATCTTTGGAAACCTCAACTATGACCACACAGCCAAAGGGTAATCAGAAAGATGATGAAGAGCATGATGATGGAGGATACAGGATCACGGATGACAGTGCTGATAGTTTGCCTGGGTAAGTGACTGCTTTTGTTATGGACAATACTAATGAAATGATAGTAATCCATAAATAATTCTTTATTGCTGTACAGTGGTTCTAGTTTCCCCTTGTTTGAGGGGGATACATTCCAAGACCCCCAGTTGGTGGTACCTTGGGTAGTACCAAATGATACATATATACTGTGGTACCTCAGCAGTCAATCCGATAAACAAGGTGACTACTAAGTGACTATTGGCCAGGTAGCATATAGAATATAGATAAAATGGACAAAGGGATGATTATATTCTGGGTAGCAAGGAATAGGACCATGCAAGATGTCATTGTACTAATAATGACATGCAATTTAGAACTAGGAATTATTTATTTCTGGAATTTTCCATGTAATATTTTTAGATCATGGTTGGCCACAGGTAACTGAAACTGCAGAATGTGAAACCATGAATAAGGGGAGACTCTCTGTAGATGACTTAACAACAATTTATTCATGAAATATATTTTACAGTCTAATTTTAGAATTTACACACATTTTTATAATGTTCACAAGTAAAATGTGCCTTGGAAGCATGATGCATAGCACCTAGTACATTGTCTCAATAAGTAGAACTAAAATAACTTCTACAAAACTTTAATAATAATGTTTTATGTATGTTTATTCAATTTAGGCTTCTTACTGTTGAAGAAAAGAAGAAAATAGGGCACCTCTGTAAATTGCTGATTGATCAAGGCCGAGTCAAGTATTTGCAGCAGAAAGGATTCAGTCCTGCTTTACAGTACTATACAGATCCTCTGGTGTCTTTGGAAAATGTGTTGTTAACCGCTTTACCAAACCATTCATCGCCAGAAACAACTGCTTAATGGAAAAGAAATTTGAACAGCAGCTGTCTTCCACGAAAAAGGGATTTTTTTTAATTATATTTTTATACTCATCACAATACAGGTGTAATTTAAATAACAAATAATATGAACTTTCATAAATTCTGTGGCCTCATTAAACTTTGGTAATAGCTTTGTTTTTTACTTCAGAAGAAGCCCAAACATTAGGAAATTCACCGAGTTCCCAAAGTAATCTTCTTTAGCGGATCATCCTGAATTAGATTATTCAGCTGGTAAATTCGTCAAACATTTGACTTGATTATCTGAAATACACATAACACATTGAAACATAATTGGAGTATTATCTTTCTGTTTGCATTCATTTTAAAAATTTATTTTCCCTTGGATTTATTTAATATTAATTTATCAATTAATGATCAGTTGTCAATTTGTATTGAGGGCCAATCTGAGAATTTGGCTTATTTGAGGATTTTTTCCATGCCCATCTGGAAAGAATAATCAATTGTGATTTTCTCAAATGCAAATTCAGAGCTGTTCACAGTTAGTAAAATTTCCTTTATATTTCTAAAGCCATACCTGCATTTATATATTATCAGGATTTGTCCATGACAAACTCCAAAACTGAAGAGATATTTTCAAGAAAAAAAACTATTTGATTTCATTCCTGTGTTAGCTAGAACTTCTATAAAGATACTTGTAAGAATAATATAAAATTTAGTTTGAAATTTGCAAATAGCTTCTGAAGTTATTAGCTATCTTGTTATTTTTTATCAGGTGTGTTTTTTTAATATATGTAAGGAATAACTAATTCTCTCCTGTTGGAGAAAAGAATTTGGGATAAAGTAGAAATTAGATAATGAAACCAAAAATGTACTCACATTTAGGTCTTATTTAATTCACAAATAGTTTCTGCGCACAAGCAAATATTAAACCAAACATATTGGTAGGGCTGTTATTCTCTTCTACATTATCCTTGACTTTTTTTCCTGCCTTGATTTCTAAAAACTGCCTTAATTATTGGTACATTTGCTAAGACAAAGGTCCAAAATGATACTTTTGGATACTATAATGACATCCTGAGTTAACCATTTTGATCTTGAAGGTCTGTGATTACATGGCTTAAAAGTAAAGAAGCCTAGCCCATTTTTAATTTGTCTTTAGCTTCCTCTTAAAATAGAGATGATAACAATAAAACCTACCTCATAAGGTGGTTATAAGCTAAAAGGGAGATATAACAAAGTAAAATGCTTAGAACAGTTCAAAGCACAAAGTACTTAGTAAATAATAACTAGTAGTAGTAATTCATGACTTCAATAATATAATGAGCAGGCTTTGGGTTTATGATCTCTTAAGTTGTTAATGCTTTTTCTCTTGTTACAAGTTTCATGTCAAATATTACTAAAAATAAGACAATTTGTTATTTTTTAAATGAGTTATTCATGCCTCCCAATCAAGAACATAAATAATGACAATACATCATTCAGTAATCACCGCTCTTTTTCTGCGTCAGGCAATGCTGATTTCTGTCATAAACTTTGTTATAATTCAATAATTTATGCCCAGAAATAAAGGATATTCTGTGGCAGGCATAATCCTGGTTATTTATTTATTCGTTTATTTAGAACAATTTATTTATTTGAAAGGTGGAGTTAAAGAGAGAGAAACAGAGACAGAGCTTCCATCTGCTGGTTCCCTCCCCAAATGGCCGCTACAGCCAAGGCTGAGCCAAGCCAAAGCCAGAAGCTGGAATACCATCCAGGTCTCCCATATGAGTGGCAGTGGGCCATCCTCTGCTGCTTTCACAAGCACATTAGGAGGAAGCTGGATCAGAAGTGGACCCAGGGCTCATATGTGATGCCAGTATTGCAGGTGGCTGCTTAACCCACTTCACAACTCCAGCGTTGGTGGCATTTCATAAATCATACATACATACCCAGGAGTTATTCTAATACAGTCCTGTGACCCATTTATCTTAATATTCTGATGATGGTATGAATTACTTATGAGATGATAAACTTGTCCTTCAGATATCAGTCTTACATATTGAGATTATTTTTTCTAACCTTGCTTATTTTCATGTATCACAAGAAAATGACTATGTGGGGTATGTTTCTTGACCTGAAAGATCTGCAGGTTCAGCAAAGCCCTTGAACTTTACATTTGCCTACACAGTTACTGCTTCTTGCATGACCCACAGGAGCATTAAACTTACTGTTAAAGCTGAAGCTCAGGACATGTTCATGGTCCAGCAGTTAAGATGGCCACTTGAGACACCTGCATACAGTTTGAGATTGCCTAGTTGGAGTCCCTGCTACTCTTGTTTCTAGTCCAGTTTTTCTGTTAAATGTGCATGTGGGAGGCAGCACATGATGACTCAAGTATTTGAGTTCCTGCCACTGATGGGGGAGACCCCAGTGGAATTCCAGGCTCCTGGTTTCCACTTAGGCAAGTCCTGGAAGTGACCTGGCAGCTAGAAGATCTCTCTTTTTCTGTTTCTTGCATTTCAAATAAAATAAAAATTTAAAAACTTGAACTTGGGGCTGGTGGTGTGGCCTAGTGGGTGAAGCCATGGCCTGTAACACTGACATCCCATAAGTACCTGGTCAAATCCCGGCTGCTCTATTTCTGATCCAGCTCCCTGGTAATGGCCTGGGGAAAACAGTAGACAATGGCTAAAGTGCTTGGGCCCATGCTATCCATATAGAAGACCTGGAAGAAGCTCCAGGCTCCCAGCTCCAGGTTCCCGGCTCCTGGGTTTGGCCTGCCCTAGCCCCAGCCATTGCAGCCATCTGGAGAATGAACTTGTGGATGGAGGCCCTCTCTCTGTTTCTCCCTCTCTCTAACTCTTGAATACATAAATTCTTTTAAAGAAGAAATGAACTCAAGAAGTAAGGCCCTAAACTTCCCCCTTTTCTCATTTTTAGTTACCTATTCTGCCTCCTGTCTTCATATGTTTATTCTCTGCTTTCCAAAACTAGGCCCCAACCTATTACTATACTTATCTTTCTCCCGCTGGTCCTCCATGCTGTTACTTTCATAACCTCGCTACAGTAGATGTAATCACAATTTCCTAAGTATAAGTATACTCCACTGGATATTGGTAAAAATGATTTAAAACTGTTATTGTCTGTTCTGATTATATTCATTTGTCAAAGTAGTTGCATTCAGTTGAGCTAAAATCTACCTTTTAAGTTCTAAATTATGAGACATTTGTTGATTGAAATCTGTGTTCTCAGTTCTCATTCATAAAATTTTTGCTATTTATAGATTGTAGAAAAAGGAAATGGCAAGGAAGGTCAGTTTGTGGTCAGTCTGACATGTATGGCAAGCTAGTGGAACGAGGTAGTGAAGCTTTAGAAGAACCATGACTTCATTGGCTTGGTTGTGCTTCTAGTGCCTGGCCAAATAATTTATTTCCTGACTTCACTTGAAAGCCTTTAAGTATCCCTATAACCACTCTCTACAAACACTTACCAGAATTAGGAACAGAGTTGAATTTCACGTTTTACTTTCCACAGTGTTGGGCAAGAGGTCAGGATTTGACAGAAAGGGCAAGATGGAGTGACAAATCCATATGGGAATTAATATAAAATGAGTTAATTATATGCACATTCCTCTACCAAAAAAGCATATTTAATGAGTGTTACATACAAATCTCCTACCTGCTCTCCGTGATTCCTGTATGTACAAGTGCATAAACTGTAGGCCAAATAATTCCCGTTCCTCCTCTTCATCTTCACTTTTACTGGGGGGAAGTGTTACTTCCAGTTGCAGTGGGTTGTCTCTGAAGTTGACAAACCTAGTAGTTCACCAAAAAGCAGTATTTTTATAAATGCCACAGAAGTGTACATTTATTTCCCTAGAGAAAGCAAATGATAATATACTAAATTACTTTTTATACTGCTTCCATACCTAAGCATCTTGGTGAGATGTTTTCTGTCTTCATAGGGAATAAAAATACTAGCTTTAGACAAATCATTTTCCAAGTCTATAAAATCAACTCTTAGTTCATAAGCAGTATTTAATGTTTACCCTGTAAGCAATTTTAGTGCATCTTTTATAGATAATGCCATGAACTTAGTTTCTTCATATTTGTTAGATTTGGGTCTTATTCATCATTTTGACTTCACTAGTTCCAGGCTAGTAAAGGCTGAATATTTTGTTGTGGAAGTTTTGGGTTTTAATGTGTGCCTTATCTTTTGGAAGGAAAGCACTTCAGGGAGTTCAAGTAATTAAAAAATCCTTACCTACTTTCTGTTGGTAACAAAGTTGTTTTTGTCCCTTTGTAGTTATGTTAGAGTAAAATCACTATGCTTATACTTTGGGATTTTGTATTATGAATAACATATATTAACAGTCTAAAGATAATTTTCATAAAAGTGTTAACAGAGGACATCTTTAAACTGATAAATCTTAGTACTGCTTTAGTTACAAGGATTCTCTCTTAATTAGGACCAGCATTATATGAATCCTGTTCATCAAGTTACAGAATTTCAACATTGGAAAAGAAATTTTTTTTTTTTTTTTTTTGACAGGCAGAGTGGACAGTGAGAGAGACAGAGAGAAAGGTCTTCCTTTGCCGTTGGTTTACCCTCCAATGGCTGCTGCGGCCCGCGCGCTGCGGCCGGCGCACTGCGCTGATCCGATGGCAGGAGCCAGGTACTTATCCTGGTCTCCCATGGGGTGCAGGGCCCAAGCACTTGGGCCATCCTCCACTGCACTCCCGGGCCACAGCAGAGAGCTGGCCTGGACCAGGGGCAACCGGGACAGAATCCGGTGCCCCGACTGGGACTAGAACCTGGTGTGCCGGCGCTGCAAGGCGGAGGATTAGCCTAGTGAGCCGCGGCGCCGGCCGGAAAAGAAATTTTTTTAATGTATCCATTCATATGAATGAAGATCCACATTTATTGGTAAAAATATCTGCATTACTTTGTTCATGGCCAGAAAGGAACATGTTTTACGTGCACAAACCTCAGACTTGTCATTGCTTCCATACATACTGGAATATCTTGCAGTTTGTTGTTGCTGAGAACCAGAGTACCGAGATTTTTCAGATTGCTGATTGTTTCTGGCAAGCATGTTATTTCATTCCGTTGCAGCCATAATGTATGTAGATTTTGCATTCTGAAGAATTAAAAGAGGTTTCTGCAGCTAGTTACACATACTATGAAAATCCTGGTTCTTATTACCTTAAGAAACAAAGAAATGTCATCTTCTACAACATCCCCTTTAATCAGCATACGTATTGAGTTAGTTGTCACTTTATCTGATAATTAGAGAAACTACACCTGAAACTAAATCTCCACAGTATAGTTCTCATTGTGGTGATGGTAGAATTAAATTAGCACATTCTAGAATTCACTATGGTAGGATTTCTTAAAAAAACTGTTTTAAGGGGCTAGCACTGTGGCATAGTAGATATAGTCACCACCTACAGTGCTGGCATCCCATTTGGGCACCAATTGGAGTCCCAGCTGCTCTGCTTCCAATCCAGCTCTCTGTTATGGCCTGGAAAAGCAGTAGAAGAGGGCCCACGTGCTTGGGTCCCTGCATCCAGGTGGGAGACCCCAAAGAGGCTCCTGGCTTCGGATCAGCCTAGCTCTGGCCATTGCAGCCATTTGGGGAGTGAACCAGTGGAAGGAAGACTCACACTCATTCTCTCTCTGTAACTCTGCCCTTAAGATAAATAAATAAATCTTTTAAAAAATCTTTTAAAAAAGATTTATTTATTTATTTGAAAGAGTTACACAGAGAGAGAAGGAGAGGCAGAGAGAGAAAGAGGTCTTCCATCTGCTGGTTCACTCCCCAGATGTGCACAATGGCTGGAGGGAGCTGTGCCAATCTGAAGCCAGGAGCTTCTTCTGGGTCTCCCACACAGGTGCAGGAGCCCAAGGACTTGGGCCATCTTCTACTGCTTTCCCAGGCCATAGCAGAGAGCTGGATCGGAAATAGAGCAGCCAGGTCTTGAACTAGTGCCCATATGGGATGCCGGTGCTTCAGGCCAGGGCTTTAACCCGCTGTGCCACAGCGTCGGCCACAATTGAAAAAACTTAAATATTCATCTGAGTTAGTTTCTTACGTTAAAAATCAGAAATAATAAATATGCCCATTTAGGGCAAGGCACTCAACATGATGACTAACAGCATGGACTCTGGCTGGGCTAATTGCCAATATGCAAACTTCAGCTTGCCCGCTTAAAACTGTGACCTTGGACAATTTAGCTACATCTCTGTAAGTTTCTTCATCAGTTTGTAAAGTTCATAATGTTATTGTTATGGCAATGCTGTTGTTCTGGCATATTCTTGTTCATTTCTTGAAGTCAGCCAGTTTTTCCTCTCCAAAATGCATTTACTTGGAATAAGTAATAATAAGTTTCTGTTGAAACAGCATATTTAGAACTAAATGGATCTACTGTGATTGATTATGCATGGGAGCCCTGTTGTTTAGTTTGTTCTCATTTTTCAGGTTTTTTAGGTTTTTTTTTTTTTTTTTTTTCAGGCAGAGTGGACAGTGAGAGAGAGAGAGACAGAGAGAAAGGTCTTCCTTTTGCCGTTGGTTCACCCTCCAATGGCCACCGCGGCCGGTGTGCTGTGGCTGGCGCACTGCGCTGATCCGAAGGCAGGAGCCAGGTACTTATCCTGGTCTCCCATGGGATGCAGGGCCCAAGCACTTGGGCCATCCTCCACTGCCCTCCCTGGCCACAGCAGAGAGCTGGCCTGGAAGAGGGGCAACCGGGACAGAATCCGGCGCCCCGACCGGGACTAGAACCCGGTGTGCCGGTGCCACAAGGCGGAGGATTAGCCTAGTGAGCCGCGGTGCCGGCTTGTTCTCATTTTTCATAGATAGTTTCAAGAAGTTCCTTGTAGCATAAAAAGGTACTTACTTTACCTTTCTATAGTATCAGGAAGTTGTTCAAGTCTGTTGCTTCCCATGTCCAGCCACTCAAGAGCAGGCATGTTCAATACAGCAGGAGGGATGGTAGTAAAGTGGTTCATACTCAAATCAAGGTGAGTAAGTTTTAACAGATTGCTGAGCTGAAGAGGAAAACAGGTCTTTCTAAGTGAATGTTCACAATGTAAGCTACTAGAAAATCACATTGGTAAAGAAGATATTTCACATCCAGGAATGTTCAGATTACCCTAGGGCTTTATTTAGTAATAGTCCCTCACCACCACCACCCCGCCCCCCAAAAAAAAAAACCTCCAGTGAAATGAAAAATTTGTCAAAATTTCATCTATTTAGAGAAAATGTATTTTCAAAATAACCAAGCTCCAGGCTTTACAAAACCTGTGTGACAAAAGGCTTTCTTTTTCTCCAAGAGTAAGCATCTAGTGGTTGAGAATTGTATTGGGAAACTCCAGTTTAAAAATAATAGTTATTTGTATTGAATTAAGAACAAACTGCCCCTAAAAAAGCCTGCAGAGCATTCAAGAGAAACACCTACTGAGACCCATCTGAGGTGTGTCTGGACAAAGTTATTGATCTTACCCACCAGGACAATTTGACTTGGGTGATGTGTACATAGGATCTGTTTCATCTTAGCCATCTGGAGCAACTTTATGCAACCCGTTCTTTTACCCTCCTTATTTATTCCAAGAAATTCCTTCTTAAAATGAATCAGTTCCATCTTTTCAGTTTACCTTGTCCCTGAACATGTTTATAACCAATCATGGTCTAAAGAAAGTAATATCGGGACTGGCATTGTGCTGTAGTAGGTAAAGCTGCTGGCTGCTATGCCAGCACCCCATATGGGTGCGGTTTGTGTCCTGGCTGCTCCACTTCTGATTCATCTCCCTGATAACGGCCTTAGAAAAGCAGCAGAAGATGGCCCAAATGTTTGGGCCCCTGCCACCCAGGTGGGAAACTGGATGAGGCTCCTGGCTCTTAGCTTCAGCCTAGACCAGCTCCAGCTGTTGTGGCCATTTGAGGAGTGAACAAGTGGGTAAAGGATGTTTCTCTATATATAATCTCTGTAGCTCTGACTTTAAAATAAACAAAAAAGCCTTGAAAGAAAGAGGAAGAAAGATGAAAAAGAGAAGAAAATACCTGTGAGCAATTGCCTTCAACTTACCTAAAGCCCATCTTTCCAGGCCAAGCCAGTGTATATTCCTTATGGAATGACAAATAGAATTTACTGTCATTGAACAGATAAATCTGACTGGAATTTGGACACTTTGGAACACTTCCCAAGGCTCATAAAAGTCACTAAGCTTGTGTTTCCCAGCCTAGGTCACTCACATCCTGCCCTGAATAAGCTATTAATTTTCCAAAGAGTCTGTTTATTCCTATTGACAGAATCTTAGTGTCTGACAATTTATATACGTCATCTCTGTCATCAGCTCTACCAGTTGTTAATTGTTTTCTAAATGAAGAAAGCCATCAAGATTAGAACAGCAGAGTAAGATGGTAGCTGAGTAAGACACTCAAGTGATCTCTGTCCAGAGAGACACAAATCTGAAGAATTATGCATACACCAAGTTGCCTTTGCAAGAGCCTTGGAAGCCAAGTGAGAAATCACAGTGCCTGTTTTTAGTACAATAAGAAAAGACATTGAATAAAGCAGAAAAGAAAGTTGCCCACTTCACCTATCCCCCGGTTCCAAGAAGCACAGCATGATAGACATCTCGCCTCCCTCTTGGGAGAGGGAGAGGGAATTAAATCCAGACCTTAGACTTGAATCTAGCACCAACACTACCATGAGAATACCTACAGACTTAGGTTTTTTATTTTTAAAGATTTATTTATTCAAAATGCTGAGTTACAGAGATAGAAGGAGAGATAAAGAGAGATCTTTCATCTGTTGGTGGACTCCCCAAATGGCTGCAAGGAGCCAGGACCTTTTTCCAGGTCTCCCAAATGGGTGAAAGGACCCAAATACTTGGGCCATCCTCTGCTGCTTTCCCAGGTCATCAGCAGGAAGCTGGATCAGAAGTGGGGCAGCCAGGGTTTGAACAAGCACCCTATGGGATGTCAGCACTGCAGGCAGTGGTTTAGCCCACTGTGCCATAGCACCGGCCCCTGTAGACTCAGTTTTATGACTGTCCTTACTCAGGTGGCTAAGTGGCTGATGCACCACCTCTCCCCCAACCTCCAAAAGACAGCAGAGTAAAACTCCAGTTACTGGGGAGCAAGACAGGAAAGGAAACTTAGAACCTTGCCTTGGAGCTCAGACCCAGGCTGCTGCTATGAGACCTGGTGCCAGATACAACCTGAAGGCCTCTATCCCCATCCTCTCACCTGTAGGCCACAGCCTGCAGGTAAGGATTTCAAATTGTCCTGGCATCAGGGGGAGAACTGCATCCTTATTGGATAGACTTGTCCTGGTATCATGCTAACCTCATATGGACCTGGTTTGTACCCCTTGGGTTGTGCAGGGCTGCCGACTGAGACCTAGGTGTGTCTTGGTTTAGTGCCAACCTGAACAGCCAAGGGGCTGCCTTTTCACCCTTTCTCCATCCTTAGGAAGACGGTAAAGAACCACAGGACTGTGACTTGAGACTCTGCTGCTGGAATAAAACAACATCAGGCAGGTCCTAGTAGTCCTTGTCTCTGAGCCAGTTCCTGTGAGAGGAAACTCGACTTGTTCTAGTACCTAATAAAGTCCTATGGTTCCAGCTGGTCAAACTTAAATGCCAGCCAACATCACTTCTAGCTAGTTGCAGTGGCCACAAGCTGTGAGTCCATTTCAGCAGCAGACCATAGAATTCGGGCTTTGGACCTACCCCATGCTGTGTTGGTCTGGGTAGGCTATGTGCTCCAGGTATGATCTATCATTGCAGTGTTGGTAGCCAAAGGACTGAGTGTGGGGCTTGTGGGGAAGGATTATCCTTTTTTGACACCTCCTTGATCTATTGTGAGTGTCACAGCATCTGTGGATTTGAGATACATCTGAGCTCTGGGCATCACAGAGACATTGTCAGTGTGCTAGTGGGGAAGTTGTGGCAAACCTCAATTTAGAGCGCCACCTCGTGCTGAATTTGCAGAAAAGTCCATAGGCCTAGAGCAAATAAAAGGACTGCTTAGAATTTCTGAAAGGACTGCCACAAAGAAGCCAGGATAAGAAGAATGGTGGTGTGTGGGGGAATCCTTCAAAGCATATTTGACATCATACACAAACAAGCACAAAGAATTCTCAGGAAACCGTGTCATCACCAAACAAGGTTCCAGAAACCAACTACCTTGGATATGATATTATTAAAAGTTCATAAGAGGCCAGCGCTGCAGCTCACTAGGCTAATCGTCCGCCTGCGGCACCAGCACTCTGGGTTCTAGTCCCAGCTGGGGCACCGGATTCTGTCCCGGTTGCTCCTCTTCCAGTCCAGCTCTCTGCTGTGGCCCAGGAAGGCAGTGGAGGATGGCCCAAGTGCTTGGGCCCTGCACCCGCATGGAAGACCAGGAGGAAGCATCTGGCTCCTGGCTTCGGATTTTGGGGAGTGAACCAACAGAAGGAAGACCTTTCTCTCTGTCTCTCTCTCTCATTGTCTAACTCTGCCTGTCAAAAAAAAAAAGCTCATAAGAATTTAAAATAGCTGTTTTAAAGAAACTCAGCAAACCTCATGAGAACACAATGAAATGATTTACTATTGTAATAGAGTAGAATTAAATTGCACCCTAGATCAATTAACAGACATCTATAAAACTTTCCATCCAAAAGCGGCAACATACACATTCTTCCAAACAACACAGGCAAAGTTCTCCAGGATAGATCATACACATAGGTCACAAAAATAGTCTCAACAAATTTTTAAAAAATATAAATTATATCCAGCATCTTTCCTACCCATAATTCAGTAAAACTAGAAATCAGTACCAAAAATTTTGGAAACAACAAAAACACATGAAAATTAACTTACCCCTAAACAACCAATGGATCAAGGAAGAAATTAAGAAAGAAGTTTAATTGAAACAGGGGTTGGCATTGTGGTGAGCAGATATGGGCATTTGTTCCTTTCCTGGCTGGCTACTTCACTTTCAAAAACATAACAAATCTTTTTTTTTTTTTTTAAAGACACTAATAGGGGCCAGCACTGTGGCACAGCGGGTTAACATCCTGGCCAGAAGCACCTGCATCCCATATGGGCACCAGTTCAAGACCTGGCTGCTCCACTTCCAGTCCAGCTCTCTGCTGTGGCCTGGGAAAGCAGTAGAAGATGGCCCAAGTCCTTGGGCCCTTGCACCCATGTGGGAGCCCCGGAAGAAACTCCTGGCTCCTGGTTTGGATCGGCGCAGCTCCGGCTGTTGTGGCCAACTGGGGAGTGAACCAGCGTATGGAAGATCTCTCTCTCACTCTCTCTCTATGCCTCTCCTCTCTCTGTGTAACTCTGACTTTCAAATAAATAACTAAATCTTTAAAAAAAAAAAAAAAGACACTAATAAAAGAAATGGACACAAAAAAATGAAAAAAATCCCATGTTCGTGGATTGGAAGAATCTGTATCATTAAAATGTCCATAATACCCAAAGTGATTTACAGATTCAATCAATCCATATAAAATATTAATGACATGTTTCATAGAACTAGAAAAAACACTGCCAACATTTGTGTGGAACCACAAAAGGCCCTGAATAGACAAAGCAATCTTGAGTAAAAATTAAAAAAAAAAAAGCCAGAGGAATTACACTACTGACTTAAAAGTATTACAGGGGCAGGCACTATGGTATAGCTGGTTAAGCTACCACTTACAATCTACAACCCATATCAGAGTGCCAGTCCAAATCCTGGCTGCTACTTCTGATCCATTTTCTGCTAACACATCCTGGGAGGCAGTGGATGATAGCCCAAGTGCTGGGGCCCCTGTAACTGCTGTGGAAGACACAGATGGAGTTCCAGATTCCTGGCTTTGGTCTGGCCCAGCCATGGCCATTGTGGGCATTTAGGGGGTGAATCAGTATGAATTTACTCTGATTTCAAGTAGACAAAATTAAAATAAATAAATTTAAATAGCCTGTATTAGCATAAAAACACACATCAACCAATAGAACAGAATAGAAATCCTAGCAGTAAACTCACACGTCTACAGTCAACTGATCTTTGACAAAGGGGCTAAGATGTGCAATGGAAAAAGGACAGTCTTTTTCAATAAATGATGCTAGTAAAAATGCATTTCTAGAGGCTGGTGCTGTGGCGAAGCACGTAAAGCCACTGCCTACAGTGCCAGCATCCCATATGGGCGCTGGTTCGAATCCTGGCTGCTCCTCTTCCGATCCAGTTCTCTGGGCCTGGGAAAGCAGTAGAAGATGACCCAAGTCCTTGGGCCCCTGCACCCACGTGGGAGACCTGGAAGAAGCTCCTGGCTCCTGGCTTCGGATCAGCTCAGCGCTGGCCATTGCAGCCATCTGGGGAGTGAACCAGTGGATGGAAGACCACCCTACCCACCACGTGCGCCTTTGCTCCTGTAATACTGCCTTTCAAATAAACAAATAAATAATTTTTTACAAAATGCATTTCCACATGCAGAAGAGTGAAGGTAGACTCCTATCTCTCACCATGTATGAAAAATCAACCCAAAATAGATTAAAGACCTCAAATGTTAAGACTTGAAACATTAGAAGAAAGCAGGAGAAACGCTTCAGGATACTGGAATGGACAAGCATTTTTGGGTCAGACTCTTAAAAAACACAGGAAACAGAAAGAAAAATAGACGAATGGTATTTCTTCAAACTAAAGAGCTTCTGCACAACAGAGTAAATAATCAACAGGATGAAAAGATAATCCACAGAGTAGGAGAAAATGTTTGCAACTTATACATCTGACAAAGGGTTAATAACCTGAGTGTATAAGAAACTTAAATAATAGTAAAAAAAACAAATAATTCAATAAAAAACAGATTTAAATAGACATTTCTCAAAGGAAGACATACAAATGGCCAATAGGTATGTGAAAAGATGCTCAGCATCACTAATCATCAAGGAAATGCAAATCAAAACCCCAATGAGATATCAGCTCACTCCAGTTAGGTTATTATCAAAAAGATAAAAGATAACAAGTGTTGGCTAGAATGTGGACAAAAGGGAACTCTTACACATTGTCATTGGGAATGTAAATTAGTACAGTGATCATGGAAAAGTAGGGAGGTTCCTCAAAAAACCAGAAATAGAATTATCATAGGATCCAGAAATCCTGTGGCAGGGTATATACCTAAGGAAGATTAAGTCAATTCATTAAAGCAATATCTACATCCTATGTTTACTGTAGCATTATTCACATTAACCAAGAAATGCGATCAACTAAGTATCTATCAACTGATGAATGGATAAAGAAAATGTATTACATTTAGAGAACAGAATACTATTTGGTTATAAAAAGGATGACATCCTATCATTTGCAAAAACATGAATGGAACTATCTAGGTCATTATGTTGAGTGAGATAAATCCAACACAGAAAGACCAAGACTACATGACTTCACTCATCTACAGGACCTAAAAAAGTTGATCTGATAGAAGTATGAGAGTATAAAGATGGTTGTAGAGGCTAGGGAAAGGAGTAGGGGAGAGCTGGCTAAATGTTGATTCCCCGAGTATCAAGTTGTAGTTAGACAGGAATAAGAAGTCCTGGTGTTCTGTTTCACTGTAGAGGCACTATAGATAGTGGTAACGTGCTGTAGATTTCTCTCTCTCTCTCTCTTAAAAAAATTATTTATTTATTTGAAAGTCAGAGTTACACAGAGAGAGAAGGAAATGCAGAGAGAGAGAGAGAGAGAGAGAGAGAGAGAGATCTTCCATCTGCTGGTTTACTCCCCAGTTGGCTGCAATGGCCAGAGCTGTGCCAAATCCGAAGCCAGGAGCCAGGAGCTTCTTCCAGGTCTCCCACGTGGGTGCAGGGGCCCAAGGACTTGGGCCATCTTCTACTGCTTTCCCAAGCCATAGCACAGAGCTGGATCAGAAGAGGAGCAGCCGAGACTCGAATCAGCGTCCATGTGGGATGCTGGCACTGCACAGCGACTTACCCACTATGCCACAGTGCTGGCCCCAGTTTTTTGCTCTTAAATAAAAAAAGTAAAAGAAAGAATTCTGAATGCTTTCACCATAAAGAAATGTTAAATTTTTCATGGGGCCGGCACTGTGGCATAGCGGGTAAAGCCGCTTCCTGAAGTGCCAGCATCCTATATAGGTACCAGTTCAAGTCCCGGCTGCTCCACTTCTGATCCAGCTCTCTGCTGTGGCCTGGGAAAGCAGTAGAGGATAGCCCAAGTGCTTGGGCCCTTGCACCCCCATGGGAGACCTGGATGAAGCTCCTGGCTCTTGGCTTCAGATCTGCGCAGCTCCAGCCACTGCGGCCAATTGGGGAGTGAAGCAGCGGATGGAAGACCTCTCTCTGCCTCTTCTTCTCTCTCTGTATAACTGACTTTCAAGTAAATAAATAAATATTTTAAAAAGTTTTTTTCAAGAAATAGATATATTTACTCTGCTTGAATATTACACAGTGGATAGACATTTACAAAAACATCACATGGCACCCATTAAAATGTACAAATTCTTTATTTTTTTTTTTAATTTTTGACAGACAGAGTGGACAGTGAGAGAGAGAGACAGAGAGAAAGGTCTTCTTTGCCGTTGGTTCACCCTCCAACAGCCGCCCCGGCTGGCGTGCTGCGGCCAGCGCACCGCCCTGATCCAAAACCAGGAGCCAGGTGCTTATCCTGGTCTCCCATGGGGTGCAGGGCCCAAGCACTTGGGCCATCCTCCACTGCACTCCCGGGCCATAGCAGAGAGCTGGCCTGGAAGAGGGGCAACTGGGACAGAATCCGGTGCTCCAACCAGGACTAGAACCTGGTGTGCCGGCGCCGCAAGGCGGAGGATTAGCCTAGTGAGCCGCAGTGCCGGCTAAAATGTACAAATTCTTATGTGTCAGTTCAAAATAAAATTAAAGAAAAAATATAAGATCAGTGTCCTCAGTTTAAGAAAGTAAATGAATTGATATGACTGCACCAATGATATGACACACCCCCTCCAGAAGTAATATCTCTCCTAGAATTCTTATGTGTATTTAAATATTTTATGACTATGACTATATACATAAATGTTCTTATAATTTCTCTATATATGTTTTCTATATATGTTACTATTATATTCATTTTTAATATAAGGATTACTACACAAGATATGGTGATTTAACTTGTTTTTTTTTTTTCTCTCAACATCAGTTTTGAAATGTATTAATGTTGCTGTTTCTAGTGAAAGTCTCAAGATGTGAGAATTCGGTTAACACTTATACAAAAACCTGTCCAGTTAGCTAGGAAAGTTCTATGTTTTACTTCTGTCTCAGATATGGTCAGATTAACATTTGCATCACAGGTAAGTACACAAATGCATTTTGTGGATAGTGCAGAAAAGCAAGAGGGTCCTGCTTAGTGGGAGATTCTGTTTCTCTGAGTTAGAGTTCAAGCCACATCATCAGACTTTTGAAATTTTAAAATTGCTCAAGATTGAAGATAAAAATATTACTTTTACATAAGCATATATACATTTGTGTGCATACAGTGTGTGTAATTTGATAGATGAAAGATGAACCTCCATTGACTGGTTTCTCGGTAGTACCAGAACCATTTGCTTTTAGAAGACTGCAAAGATAATAAAGCTAAACAATCTAACAGTCCTAATTTCCCCTGTCTGAAAGCTGATATCTAGTAATGTAAAATGGTGTGAGTCCAAGGCACATGGATATTAGAGACACATTTTTGGTAATAAATAGTCCTAGGCTTAAGATTTCAGTTTAGTATCTTTTCCAGTATAAGCTCTGTTTTAAGTGAAGAAGCTAAGGGAAAAATGGCTTGATAGAAATACACATATTCACATAGCTTTTAGGAACAGAGACAATTCTAGGGATAAAAATCATAAGAATTAGAAATAGAATAAAGAAATTGTATGTGTAAAGAAATTGTCCATGGGATCATCTATCTGTCCATGGGATCTATATATATATACTGTATTACCTGCAAAAAGAACTATTATTGGTGAATTATAAACATTTCCCAGACGAATGCATAAAAAACTTACATTCATCTCTTTCTCAAAAAATCACTTTGGGCCGGCGCCGTGGCTCAATAGGCTAATCCTCTGCCTTGCGGCGCCAGCACACTGGGTTCTAGTCCCGGTCGGGGCACCGGATTCTGTCCCAGTTGCCCCTCTTCCAGGCCAGCTCTCTGCTATGGCCAGGGAGTGCAGTGGAGGATGGCCCAAGTGCTTGGGCCCTGCACCCCATGGGAGACCAGGAGAAGCACCTGGCTCCTGCCATCGGATCAGCGCGGTGCGCTGGCTGCAGCGGCGGCCATTGGAGGGTGAACCAACGGCAAAGGAAGACCTTTCTCTCTGTCTCTCTCTCTCACTGTCCACTCTGCCTGTCAAAAATAAAAAAATAAAAAAAAATTTTTTAAAATCACTTTGTAAAAACTGATAAAGAGTTTTTCAATTACCACATGGACTATGCTTTATGATAATCAGTTACTCATTGAAAATGCCCTTATTAAGTAATGATTACAATCTAGGTTCTGCCCTCAATTCTAGTAATTTAAGAAATTAAAACTCTGACTCTGACCTCAATGAGATCAGTCTAGCCATCAACTGATGTCAATACTGTAACAATAATACAGTATGTTTTACGTTAAGTAGATTTTTCTCTAACTAAAAGCTTATGTTATTCATATAATAGCAAATCATTTTAATTAAGTATTTTTCTGCAATAAAATTTATAGCATTTCCTCATTAGTTTTACTTTTAACAATCACACATTTGAGAAATAAACTAGTTGATGGAAAATAATATCATAGGCACTTATATCTTTCTGACCTCTTGTGGAAGATCACATATATCTCTGTTCACAGCCAGTTCTAGTTTCTCCAAGCTGGCACAGTTACTTAGCTCCTTGGGGACAGTCTTGATTCTATTGTAGCTAAGAATGAGTTCCTGAAGCCTAGTGAGCAGTCCTACAAAAAATAATACACAATAGATGGCAGATGGATATAAAATAATGTTTTCCATTAAGTATAATATCATAACTTGCTTTTATCAGCAAATTCATAGTTAGTTTCTTCCATTTTTCCAGTCTCTATTGTACCCCTTCTTCAAACAGATTTACTGTGCTGTGAGCAAAAAAAATTTTAAAAACAGGACAGAGAAAGGTAGGAAGAAAGGAAGGAAGGGAGGGAGGAAGAGAGAGAGAGAGAGAAAGGAAGAAAGGGAGGGAGGGGGGAAATTCTGTTTTATCTATATTACATCTTCAGTAATTTTCTATTTTGGAGATTTTTCTTTTTTAATCTTTACCTGTTCTCCTCTAAGGAGAATAGCTGAACCAGGAATATTGTTTCCAGAATCTCACATTGACGCCTCATCCTCAATTACTTCAGTAAACTCAGAAGCTTGGATCTCCTAGAAGCTTTCACTTGGATTAAATTTTTAAAATGTTCTCAAGATTCAAGGCTATATAAAGATGAGATTTGTATTCCATGTACTGAAAACACATTTGTGCTTGGATAAACTAACACACGAATGAAGCAATCTTTCTTACCAATTCCTCGAGGAATCTCTGAAATTATGTTTCGAGATAAATCTAGCACAATGAGGTTCTGGAATCTTCCAATGAATTCAGGAATTTTCAATAAACCAGTTCTGTGAAGTTGCCATTCTTGTAGCTGATTGAGTTTCAGTAGAGAAGAAGGCAGAGTCTAAACTCCAGTGAAAGAAATAACAGGGTCATTGTGTTACTTAATAAGTTACTTTAATATCCTGCGACACTGCATGGTGATATTATTTGATTTGTAAAAATTTGTATTTTTTTCCTGGATTGGCTACATTTCAAAGCACTTTGAGTTGCTTATAAGTTTTCAGACCATTACAGTTTTAATTGTTTGCCAAACCCTCAAACCCCAATTCAAACATATCTTGTTCGATAACATACACACACATAGAAGTATGTCCTGAAGATTCTGTTGCATTAGGTTTTCCTATAATACATAAGCTATTAAATTAGAATATCAAAAATGACTTTAATCAATAATTCAAACTTCTCTTCTACTTCTGTTTATTTTGTGTGAGTTAAATTTTTAAAGAATTTTTAAAAATATTTTATTTATTGATTTGAGAGGAGGAGCTACAGGCAGAGAGAGGGAGAGACAGAGAGAAATGTCTTCCATCCTCTGGTTCACTCCCCAGATGGCCACAACAGCTAGAGCTGGGCCAATTCGAAGTCAGAGCCAGGAGCTTCTTCTAGGTCTCCCATGTGGGCACAGGAGCCCAAGAGCTTAGGCCATCTTCTACTGCTTTCCCAGGCCATAGCAGAGAGCTGGATCAGAAGAAGAACAGCTGTGACACAAACCAGCGCCTATGTGGGATGCTGGCACCACAGGCAGGAGCTTAGCCCACTATGCCATAGTGTTGGTCCCAAAGATTTTTTTAAACTTAAGGTTTTTAAGAGTTCCAACTCTTCTGATCTCTATGCCTGTTCCAATGCACCATAAAATAGCCAGGAGAGAAATAAAAGATTTAACCTCAAAGTTAAATATATCTATATTATGAAAACAAATACTGACCCAAAGATTGGAAGCCCTAGTAAAAATTAGAGTATGCCTAATGGCATTAAGCAATGGTATTTCTGTGTGTATGGGTGTGATGGTGACAGAGAAAGACTATGAATCATGTAATAGACCTAAGAACAATGACAACAAAATCACATTTCCATTTTGTGGACTGTTAACTACGCATTTCTTTGGAAAAGCCATATAATCATTTTTATGGGAAATGAGAAACTGCTTATTAGAAGGACTAGCAGGAGAAGTACTACAAATGACTTAAGTTCAGGCAGAGTTGAAGCACATTGAAATTGTGCAAAACAACTATGAAGTTATGTTTCTTTTCAGTGGTTCATGCTGCCCAAATTAATTTGGTGGATTATTAAAATTGGATTTTCCAGCTATCCCACTCTTTGTTATACCATGTTAGAATCATTCTCTCAACTCTTCCACAAAATTCAAGGTGCCAAACATTGCTTTCCTGATGCTTACCTTCCATTCCTCCTTTTCTATCTTCAGAATGACTCTTCCATCCTCCCTCGTGACTTTTTCTTTTAGCTTGGTTAAGCACACTCGTTCTTCCCAGATCCTCACTAGCCTAGGAGACCAGAAAATCATTTTAGTTCATAGATATTGACACAAGTAGGATTAGTTTTATTTATTTTCTAAAGCAATATTATTTTTTTTTAAGATTTATTTAGTTATCTGAAAGAGATACAGAGAGGCAGAGGCAGAGAGAGAGAGGAAAAGGTCTTCCATCTGCTGGTTCACTCCCCAAATGGCCACAACAGCCAGAACTGGGCCAATACGAAGCCAGGAGCTTCTTCTGGGTTTATCATGTGAGTGCAGGGGCCCAAGGACTTGGGCCATCTTCTGCTGTTTCCTAGGCCATAACAGAGAGCTGGTTGTAAGTGGAGCAGCCGGGACTCGAACCAGCGCCCATGTGAGATGCTGGCACTGCAGGCAACAGCTTTACCCACTACACCACAACACCGGCCCCTCATTTTGTTTTTAAAACAACCCATCAGAGACAATCATTTGACCAATTGTATCTGGAAATCAGACAAAAATTTATTTTGCAAGACATAAATATAAGTAGCACCACAAATGCCCTATTTTTAAATTTCTGAAAAGTATTGTAGCTCTCCATTGATTTTATTTACAATAGCTTTTTTGAAGATACAATTCAGGGGCCGATGCTGTTGTGTAGTGCTAAAAGTTACCACCTGCAGTGCCAGCATCCCATATGGACGCCGATTCAAGTACTGGATACTCCACTTCCAATACAGCTCTCTGCTACGGCCTGGGAAAGCAGTAGAAGATGGCCCAGGTCCTTCCTGGCTTTGGTCTGGCCTAGCTCCAACCATCAAGGTCAACTGGGGAATGAACCAGCAGAAGGAAGACCTCTCTTTCTCTCTGTGTGTAATTCTGCCTTTCAAATAAATAAATAATTCTTTTAAAAAAAGATAGAATTCATATGCCATGTCATTTTTTAAAGTATACAGTTTAGTGCATTTTGCTATATTCACAGCATGAGCAACCATCACTGCTATCTAATATCAAAATATTTTATCACTCAGAAAAGAAATTCCATACCCTTTAGCAGTTCCTCTCTATTTCTCCATCTCCTGCTCCCTGACAATCTATTATACTTTTTTGTCTCTATGGTTTTACCCTACTCAAGACATTTCCAACAAGTGACATTATAGGACACGTGGACTTTCATGTCAGGCCTCTTAGCACTGTTTTATTCCAAGTTTATCCGTGCTGTAGGCATGTATCAGTACTTGATTCCTTTTTATTATAGTGAAATGATTCCACTCTATGTGTCTACCAAATGTATCTACCATGTATAACCAATATGTTTATTTGTTCATCAGTCGATGGACATTTGGGTTAATTCCACTTCTAGTTATTCTGAATAATGCTATGGACATCTATCTACAAGTTCTTATGTGAATTTCTCACTAAAAAGCTATTGGAAGCTATTGTGAATGAGGCTCCTCCCCTGTGACCCAACAGACCTGCCTAAACATCAAAATTGGAGCTGAAGTTTCATTTCACCAAACTGAAAATAAGTTATGTGACCTTTTGAGAAACAGGAGAGACAGATAACAGCCAAATTTTGCAAATAGGCCAATTTCATAATGGGCCAACTTCATAATGAAGTTCCCTCTGTCACAACCCTTACACTAACAAAATAACCTCATATTAAAGGGTTATTTTTTTGTTATTCTGTATCCATGTCCCTGCCTTACAAGGATCATAACTTTGAAATGACCAATCTACTTTTTGTTTCTTGTATTTGCTTTTGTAAAGCCCTTCTCTATCTATAAGACCAACTTCTTCCACAGGGCCAATGTAACACTTATTATGACATGAAGTGTTGCCTGACTCTAGACAGAAAAAAATCCAATTAAGGTCTTTAAACTAAATTGTTGTAAGTTTGTCCATTGATAGATTACGTTTTCATGATCCTAGGAGTAGAATTGCTGGGCCACAGAGTAACACTAGACATCGACAGTGGACATTGTCCAACTGTTTCCAAATTGACTGCAACCTTTTAAGTCCCCACAGCAGTGCATCAAGGTTCCAACTTCTCCGTATCCTCAATATTTAATCACTCTTGATCTTTTTATTATAGCCTCCTAGAGGGTATGAATGGTATCTCGTTAGGGGCTTGATTTGCAATTTCCTGGTGATTAATCCATAAGTGTTTAATAAGTTTATGTAATGGCTCAGAAATAATATAGTTCAGCTTCAGAGTTACATTGCATGTTACTGGAGTGGGCATTGTGGTGCATTGGGGTTAGGCCGCCATTTGGGACATCCACATCCTATATCAGAGTATCAGGTCGAGTCCTGGCCACTCTGCTTGCCATCCAGCTTCTTTCTACTGCATTCTGAAAGGCAGCAGATCATAGCTGAACTGTGTGGACCTCTGTCACTCATGTGGAAAACATGGATAGAGTTCCAGGCTCCTTGGCTGTGCTCCTGGCTCTCTCAGCCCCTGCTCTTATGAGCATTTGGGGAATGAACTAGCCGATGGAAGATAGCCTTCTATCTCTCTTTGTTGCTCTACCTTTCAAATAAATAGACTTTAAAAATAGTTAATGGAAAATGGAATTAAAAGGTAAGGGATTTTTGGTATAAAAAATCTGAAATCCATACATGGTTTTTCATAATACACATTTCCACGAACATTTTGAAGACTGTTTGTACAGGTACTTGTGTGTTTTGTGACTCACATCCCTTAATCACATTTAATTGAGTCAGGTGTTCCTTTAAGAAATTCATTAACAAAGCATTTAATAAATAATCTTTTTTAAAAATAATTGTGATGTGGGCCTGGTGCTGTGGCACAGCAGGTTGATGCCCTGGCCTGAAGCACTGGCATCCCAAACCAACACTGGTTCGAGACCCTGCTGCTTCACTTCCTATCCAGCTCTCTGCTGTAGCCTGGGAAAGCAGTAGAAGATGGCCCAACTCCTTGGGCCCCTTACACCCGCATGGGAGACCCGGAGGAGGCACCTGGCTCCTGGCACAGCTCCGGCCATTGGATGGAGGACTTCTCTCTCTCTGCCTGTCCTCTCTCAGTGTAACTTTGACTTCCAAATGAATAAATAAATAAATAAATCTCTTTTTTTAAATAAAAAAAATTTTAAAAATTGTGATGTTACAAATGTTCACTAATTCAAAAGAATAAATATGTTAGAGCCTACTTTTGTTGAAATTCCTTCTCTCGTCTCAGGTCTTCATTGTGTTTCTGTATTCTTTTTTCCCAAACCTCCTTTACAGCATTGACAGCACCAGTACAAGCCACAGTTTCGGTCATGATTTCTCCACATTGTCACGGAGTCATTAACTTCATTAGGTTCCCAATAACTGAATCACAGATGCCGTGTCAGGAAAGACCCAACTGTATGAGAATATAAAAGCAATATTTCAGGGTGTTTAGTGAGTACTAGTATGACCAGAAGAGCTCATCGTTATTGAATATCTTTCATGTTCCCAAAACTATGTTACAGACTTTATAAGCCATATCTCACTTTTAAAACCCTTATAAAACACTATGATATTGACATTTTATTGTCTCTAATATATTGATGAGAAAACTGAGCCTTAAAGGAGATTAACAATTTGCTCAAGCTCTTATAACTAATATGTGGCAGAGGTGGGAACTGATGCCAAATCTACTTTTATTTTTATACTGTAATTCACAATAATGAAAATTGCAAACAGCCAACTATAGGAAAATAGTTAATACTGCATATATAAAATAAGATCTTGGGATATCTATCTAATCTGGATGCCATAGGCATAAACTGGAAATCAGTTAACTGATAACATATATTGCAGTTATTTGCTCTGATTTAAAAATAAATTGCAGGGGCCAGCACCGTGGCACACCAGGTTAATCCTCCACCTGAGGTGCCAGCATCCCATATGGGCACTGGTTCTAGTCCCGGTTGCTCCTCTTCCAGTCCAACTCTCTGCTATGGCCTGGGAAAGCAGTGGAGGATGGCCCAAGTGCTTGGGCCCCTGCACCTGCATGGGAGACCAGGAGGAGGCTCCTGGCCCCTGGCTTCAGATCGGCGCAGCTTCTGCCGTTGCGGCCATTTTGGGGGTGAACCAACAGAAGGAAGACCTTTCTCTCTGTCTCTCTCTCTCACTGTCTGTAACTCTACCTGTCAAATAAATAAATAAAAATAAATAAATAAATTGCAAATGGACAGATGCAGTATTGAGGACTGTGACCTGAATCTCAGAAATAAGAGGAAAATACCTAATACTAGGGGAATGGTTAAGTGAATTATGGTAGATCCAATTGATGGAATATCCTACAAGCTTACAAATAATAGTATTGATTTTTTAGCAAATTGGCAATAACGAAAGAATTTGATTAAAAATCATTTGAATGATTTCCTCCCAAATTCAGGAAGAGAAATACATGCACAATCATTATTTCTTTTCAATGTTATACTGGAAAGCCATAATGCAAGAAAGTAAATAGAAATATATAAAGTTGGAAAGGGAAGAAATTAAATCTGTAATAGCATAGGGAAACAGGCACTTTCATACACTGCTGGTGGCAGGTTATATTACTATATTCTTTTCGGAGAGAGATTTTGCAATATTTATTAAACTAACAAAGGTGTATTCACCCTTCAAGAAATTTACAATACAAATATTTTCAAATATAAAATGACATATTCCAAAGTTACACATTGCAGTGCTTTTTTTTCTTTCTTTTTTCTTTTTTTGACAGACAGAGTGGACAATGAGAGAGAGAGAGAGAAAGGTCTTCCTTTTTCCGTTGGTTCACCCTCCAATGGCCGCTGCGGCCGGCGCGCTGCGCTGATCCGAAGCCAGGAGCCAGGTGCTTCTTCCTGGTCTCCCATACGGGTGCAGGGCCCAAGCACTTGAGCCATCCTCCACTGCACTCCTGGGCCACAGCAGAGAGATGGACTGGAAGAGGAGCAACCGGGACAGAACCAGCGCCCCGACCAGGACTAGAACCCAGTGTGCCGGCACCGGCAGTGCTTTTTAAAATTTATTTGTAAAAAGGGAGCAAACTTCATGTATTTCATACATACAGTTTTTAAAATTTTTTTAAAATTTTATTTAAGGTATGCAAATTTCATGTATTTCATATATACAGTTTTATGAGCATAATGATACTTCCCACCCTATCCTCTCTCCCTTACTCACTCCCACCCTCTCTCCTTCTCTTTTTTCTTTTAATTTTTACAATGAAATATTTTCAATTTTCTTTTTTTTTTTTTTGTGAAGTAATAAGGTTTTATTTGGGATAGGGATCTGTCAGCACAGCAGGGACAGACAGAGAGTGCCCAGTCACTCAGACTAGGGGAGAGCAAGGTTACAATGATTAAATGGAGAGAATACACCTAGACAGGCCAGACAGGTGGCTGAGCAGAGAGCAGAGGGCTGAGTACTCAATTTTGTTTATAGTCACAAGCTTAACCCTCCACTAAATACAGAATTCAACAAGTAATAAGTAGAAAAACCACTGTTCCACAAGACTGTAGACAAGAGCAATAAAAATTAATCAAATCTCAAAATGTCAATTTTGCTCAAATACATTACATTTTTGGACTCTGTATATTAGTTACCACAAATCAGGGAAAACATATTTTATTTGTCTTTTTGGAATTGGCTTATTTCACTAAGCATAATGGTCTTCAGTGGAACCCATTTTGTTGCAAAAGATGGGATTTCACTCCTTTTTATGGCTGAGTAGTATTCCATTGTGTATATATACTATAATTTCTTTATCCAGTCATCAGTTGATGAACCTCTGGTTGATTCCATATCTTAGCTATTGTGATTTGAGCTGCAATAAACATAACTGTTTCATATGATAATTTCATTTCCTGGCTGGCGCTGTGGCTCACTAGGCTAATCCTCAACCTGTGGCACCGGCACACTGGGTTCTAGTCCCGGTTGGGGCACCGGATTCTGTCCCAGTTGCTCCTCTTCCTGTCCAGCTCTGCATGGGAGGCCAGGAGGAAGCACCTGGCTCCTGGCTTCATATTGGTGTAGCTCCAGCTGTGGTGGCTATTTGAGGGGTGAACCAATGGAAGAAAGACCTTTCTCTCTGTCTCTCTCTCACTGTGTAACTCTATCTGTCAAATTAATTAATTTAAAAAAAAATTGTGATCCCTGGGAGCTCTAGGCTTCCTGACCTAGATACTCCTCCACATGGCTGGTTCCTGGTGCTCGGTATGAACCCGTATTTACCTCTCTCTCTTAAATAATACTCTCTGCCTCTGCTTTGCTGCCGGTGATAAGCGGTAGATAGCAGTTCAAGGTGCTTGCTGCACGTGGCTTTTGGCCTACTCTCTGAGTGGTATGGACGCTACCCTAGTTTCCAGACTTTCCCCTCTCTCTAACCTGAACTAAAGCCCTCAATTTCCTAGATACCTTTCACATTAAATAAAAGCCTAAAACGTACCATGCTGCCTTGTTTATCTGTGCCGGTATTTAGAATTCTCTAAATATTAGGCAAGAACCCTCTTGGGCTTGTTAATATTGGGGATTTATTAATAAGCCCATGGTGAAATCGTATGGCACCCCAAATTCTGGTAGCATATGTGGCACCCCAGATAGCACTTCTGGGGAACTTTAAGGGGCCACACTTTTGTGTGAATTTTAGGGGTCATGTCCGATTTCAACACCACTGCCTCCTGGAGTTCACATAGGCAAGAAGCTAGAATCAGAAACAGAACTGGGACTCAAACCCAGGCACTCCAGTGTGAGATGTTGGCATTACAGTTACAATCAGAACTGCTGCACCAGACACTTGCCCTGATATTAAAATATTTTACCAGTGGGAAAAGAAATCAAGAGATATACTAAAAATCAGGATATTATTCTTTTTATTTTTACTTTTTTAAAAAAAAGATTTATTATTTATTTGAAAGGCATATATATAGAGAGAGAGAGAGAGAGAGAGAGAGAGACAGAGAGAGACAGAGAGATAGAGAGATCTTCCATTTGCTGGTCCACTCCCCAAATGGCAGCAATGGCTGAGGCTGGGCCAGGCTCAAGCCAGGAGCCAGGAGAGATTCATCCAGGTCTCCTACATGGGTATAGGCACCCAAGGACTTGGGCTATCCTCCGCTGCTTTCCCAGGTACATGAGCAGGGAGCTGGATCAAAAGTTGAGCAGCAAGTACTCACATCGGCACCTATATGGGATGCTGGCATCAAAGGTGGCGCCTTAACCTGCCACAATGCCGGCTCTAGGATCTAACTCTTTTTTTTTTTTTACTTTTATTTAATGAATATACATTTCCAAAGTACAGCTTATGGATTACAATGGCTTCTCCCCCACCATAACTTCCCTCCCACCCACAACCCACCTCTTTCCCGCTCCCTCTCCCCTTCCATTCACGTCAAGTTTCATTTTCAGTTCTCTTTATATACAGAAGATCAGTTTAGTATATAGTAAGTAAAGATTTCAACAGTTTGCACCCACACAGAAACACAAAGTGAAAAATACTGTTAGAGTACTAGTTATAGCATTAAATCACGATGTACAGCACAGTAAGCACAGAGATCCTACATGAGGAGTAAGTGCACAGTGACTCCTGTTGTTGACTTAACAAATTGACACTCTTGTTTATGGCATCAGCAATCACCCTAGGCTCTTGTCATGAGTTGCCAAGGCTATGCAAGCCTTTTGAGTTCAATGACTCTGATCATATTTAGACAAGGTTATAGTCAAAGTGGAAGTTCTCTCCTCCCTTCAGAGAAAGGTACCTCCTTCTTTGATGACCTGTTCTTTCCACTGGGATCTCACTCGCGGAGATCTTTCATTTAGGTCTTTTTTTTTTTTTTTTTTTTTTTTTTTTTTTTTTTTTTTGACAGAGTGTCTTGGCTTTCCATGCCTGAAATATTCTCATGGGCTTTTCAGCCGGACAGGATCTAACTCTTAATCATCATTTTTCATAATGAGATTCATTAGGTAACATCAAAAGTTGGTAAGAAGTACACCTGCCGTTGAAAAATACAAATGAGAGTACTTCAAAAAGTTTCTGTAGGGGAGAGTGTTGAGAGTGTTTTGGCACAGTGGGTTAAGTGGCTACCTGGGATGCCACATCACATATCAGAGTATCTGGGATACAGTTCCACCTCTGTTTCCAATCTAGCTTCCTGCTAGTGAACCTGGGAAGGTAGTGAATGATGGCCTGTTTGGGTCCCTGCCAACAATAAAAGAGACCCGGATGCAGTTTCTGGCTCCTGGCTTTGGCCTGGTTAAGCTCTGGCTGTTGCAAGCATTTGGAAAGTAAACCAGCAGTTTGAAGATCTCTCTGTCTCTCCTTCTCTCTATTACTTTCAAATCGGTGAATCAGTCAATTAATAAAACTCTTTTTGAAAAGTTCATATAAAATGTGTATTTTGAAAAAACTATACACAGATTCCAAAATTTTCTTGTATCAAAATAGACTTATGTATAAATTCCATTTTCCATGAATTTTTTGAAGTTTCCTTCTATGGAGATAACTATTGAAAATCAAACCCTGGGCCAGCACTGTGGCGCAGGGGGTTAATGCCCTGGCCTGAAGCGCCAGCATCCCATTTGGGTGCCGGTTCGAGTCCTGGCTGTTCCTCTTCCGATCCAGCTCTCTGCTATGGCCTGGGAAAGCAGTAGAAGATGGCCTAAGTCCTTGGGCCCCTGCACCCACGTGGGAGACCCAGAGGAAGCTCCTGGCTCCTGGCTTCGGATCAGCTTGGCTCCAGCTGTTGCGGCCATCTGAGGAGTGAACCAGCGGATAGAAGACCTCTCTCTCTGTCTCTACCTCTCTCTGTAACTCTTTCAAATAAATAAAATAAATCTTAAAAAAAAAAGAAAACCAAACCCCAAAATGGTTAAAATGCTTACTTCTGGGGAGTAGGGCTGGTGATAGAGAGGCACGTAGTACAGAATGTTGCTGTCTATAATTAGTGTTTTAAATTCTTGACTTTTCAAACTAAAATTATGCAGTGTAGGTGGAGGGGGGTGCTGGTGCTGTGGCGCAGCGGGTTAACGCCCTGGCCTAAAGTGCCAGTATCCCATATGGGCGCTGGTTCAAGACCCGGTTGCTCCTCTTCCAATCTAGCTCTCTGCTGTGGCCTGGGAGAGCAGTGGAAGATGGCCCAAGTCCTTAGGCCCCTGCACCCGTGTGGGAGACCCAGAAGAAACTCCTGGATCCTGACTTCGGATTGGCACAGCTCCAGCTATTGCAGCCAACTGGGGAGTGAACCATCAGATGGAAGACCTGTCTCTCTCTCTGCCTCTCTTCTCTCTGTGTAACTCTGACTTTCAAATAAATAAATAAATAAATATTTAAGAGAGAGAGAGAGAGGCAGAAGAATTGTATCACAGAAGAAAAAAGTTTAAAATTTCAGGATTAATATATAATTGGCAATCTGCAGGAAATTATTAGAAGGTCTCTACCCTTGAGCAATGTAAGCAGAAGTTAGGAACAGAATCTGAGATCTTTTTGCCATCAAGGAAGCTTGGGATGCACATACTACTAAGCCAGCTACTGGGGCATATCACAGTCAACTTATAATTTATTGTCTCAGACTGAAGCAAGACTGAAGTATTTGCTATTTGCTAAATATTTCAAATAATCATTATCAAACAATAAAATACTTTTAAGTCCCAAGTATCTACATGTATATGTGTACTTTATTAGGCACCTATAACATTTCAGTCATTTGCTAATTCATTTCCTCCTTCGCTATCACTGTCTAAACTCTGATCATCCATCAGTATTCCCATATTTCCCATGCAGGAAAGCAAGTCTATAACGATGGATGGGTTTTCTGCCTCCAGCAAGGATTGTGATCTCTCCTTTGATCATTACCATAACAGAAAAGCACAGAGCATGGCAGTGAGGTAAACATTGCAGCACCACGACTGGGAGAGTTGGCTTCACAAAGTCAAAAGAAAGTGAAAGACATACAATTGCAAAAGTGTTTACCTCTAAAGAAATCTATCTTCCAGCAGATGACAATTACTTGAGTGACTGAACCTCAGAAAAGACCTTCAAATTCAACTCCAAGTTTTGTTTGCACATTGCAGCACATACAGATGCCGGAAAAATATCATCAACAATCAATTTACATGTGAGGAATGGAGAAAAATGTGTTTTGAGAAATACTTACCATTGTCAGTGGATGCTGAAGTTGATATGCCCAAACTTAGTGATAATCAACCAGGAATGAATTTCAGGAAGAATTTCTTCAGTGCAGTTCCAAATGACTGAAGTCCTCAGTCAGGCTGTAATCAAGTGAAAGGTAATGTTAGCCTGGTTCTAATTTTAGTTCATGGACAAAGCTGAGAATAGCAAGAATCACATGGGGCTTCTCTGCTAAGGATCAACTGATAAATGTGAGCACATTCTATAAAATGCAGAATGTTGTGTGTTCTACAGACACTGCAAAGCTACCAGGCATAACTATTTCTAAGCTCTGAAAAAATAACTATTGACAGGATTTCTACTTTCCATAACTTACACATTTTAAGTATTTAACAGAACTTAGTTAATCTATTTCAAACAGAAAACTGTACCTAATAAACCACAGATCTCCAAATATACGAACTACAAAGATGTTCAGAAAATGGAAAATGAGTATGTGAATAAGCATAGGCAACAGAGGAGCTCCAAACTTGTGCTGCATCCAGACTTCAAGTTTAATTCTCTTTCAAATTTCAACTCTCAATTTAATGATCTCTTCAACTTTATCCTCAGCTTTCTCAAATAGAACTTAATTCTAGTTTAATGCTTTTAATTTTTTTGCATTTATTATGTATGCACATGGACAAAATATATAATGTAAACATATGGAACAAAATTCTCCCCCATCCCTGCCTCCAGCCATTTAGGTCTGTTGTCTGAAGGCAATCACTATTACCGTTTTACTTGTACTTTTCCAGAGATGCTCTGAATTAGTATTCCTATTTTGCTTTTTTAAAAAGGGATACTTGGGGCCAGCATGTGGCATAGTTGGATAAGCCACCACCTGCAGCACCAGTGTCCCATATGGGTGCTGGTTCGAGTCCGTGCTTGTTCCACTTCCCATCCAGCTCACTGCTAATCACCTGGGAAGGCAGCAAAAGATGGCCCAAGTGCTTGGGCTCCTGCCACCCACATGGAAGACCCAGAAGAAGTTCTTGGCTCCTGGCTTTGGCCTGGCACAGCTCTGGCTGTTGCAGCATTTTGAGGAGTGAACCAGTGGATAGAAGTCCTCTTCCTGTTTGTCTCTCCCTCTTTCTGTAACTCTGCCTTTCTAATAAATAAGTATCTTTTTTTTTAAAGGGAACAAAATAAAAGGAAACATGTTGGAAAAAAGGAATACTTATAGGGCCGGCGCCGTGGCTCACTAGGCTAATCCTCCACCTTGCGGCGCCGGCACACCGGGTTCTAGTCCCGGTCGGGGCACCGGATTCTGTCCCGGTTGCCCCTCTTCCAGGCCAGCTCTCTGCTATGGCCAGGGAGTGCAGTGGAGGATGGCCCAGGTGCTTGGGCCCTGCACCCCATGGGAAACCAGGAAAAGCACCTGGATCCTGGCTCCTGCCATCGGATCAGCGCGGTGCGCCGGCTGCAGCGGCGGCCATTGGAGGGTGAACCAACGGCAAAGGAAGACCTTTCTCTCTCTGTCTCTCTCTCTCACTGTCCACTCTGCCTGTCAAAAAAAAAAAAAAAAAAAAAAGGAATACTTATAGGAAATCCATTTATTTATATTTGCACTTAAATGATTGTAGGAAGAGATGCTTTTATTATGATTTTTACATGCACTATGCAGTTTTGAAGACTGTTCAAATCATGTTCATGACTTAAAATTGAAATGCCAGATCTCCCAAGAACAAAGTATTTCTAAAGCTCTAATATAAAAACTATATTTAATTTCCTTTTTCAGCATTTTATGTCTATATTTCTTTTTTATTTTTTTCAACCTTTATTTCATAAATATAAATTTCCAAAGTACAACTTTTGGATTATAGCGGCTTTTCCCCCTATAACCTCCCTCCCACCCACAACCATTCCATCTCCCACTCTCTCTCCCATCCCATTCCTCATCAAGATTCACTTTCAACTATCTTTATATACAGAATATCAATTTAGTATATACTAAGAAAAGATTTCACCAACACAGATACACAAAGTATAAAGTACTGTTTGAAGACTAGTTTTATCATTAATTCTCATAGTACAACACATTAAGGACAGAGATTCTACATGAGGAGTAGGTGCACAGTGACTCCTGTTGTTGATTTAACAATTGACACTCTTATTTATGATGTCAGTAATCACTGGAGGCTCTTGTCAGGAGCTGCCAAGGCTATGGAAGCCTCTTGAGTTCACAAACTCTGATCTTAGTTAGACAAGGCCATAGTCAAAGAGGAAGTTCTCTTCTCCCTTCAGAGAAAGATACCCCCTTCTTTTATGGCCCATTCTTTCTGCTGGGATCCACTCACAGAGATCTTTCATTTAGTTGTGTGTGTGTGTGTTTGTTTTTTTTTCCCCATAGTGTCTTGGCTTTCCATGCCTGAGAAACTCTCATGGCTTTTTAGCTGGATCCAAATGCCTTAAGGGCTGATTCTGAGACCAGAGTGCTCTTTAGGGCATCTGCCATTATATGAGCCCTGTGTATCCCACTTCCCATGTTGGATTGTTCTCTCCTTTTTAATTCTATCAGTTACTATTAGCAGACACTGGTCTTGGTTATGTGATCCCTTTGATACTTAATCCTATCATTATGATCAATTAGGAAGTTTATATTTCTTGAAAGTGCATACACATGCCGGCGCCGCGGCTCACTAGGCTAATCCTCCGCCTTGCGATGCCAGCACACCGGGTTCTAGTCCCGGTCGGGGCGCCGGATTCTGTCCCGGTTGCCCCTCTTCCAGGCCAGCTCTCTGCTGTGGCCAGGGAGTGCAGTGGAGGATGGCCCAGGTGCTTGGGCCCTGCACCCCATGGGAGACCAGGATAAGTACCTGGCTCCTGCCATCGGATCAGCGCAGTGCGCCGGCTGTAGCGCGCTGGCCGTGGCGGCCATTGGAGGGTGAACCAACGGCAAAAGAAGACCTTTCTCTCTGTCTCTCTCTCTCACTGTTCACTCTGCCTGTCAAAAAAAAAAAAGTGCATACACATGCTGTCATGCACACACACAAATGGCAGCATATGAGGGCCAGCGCTGTGGCACAGTAGGTTAAGCCTCCGCTTGTGATACTAGCATCCCATACGGGTGGCGGTTTGAGTCTCAGCTGCTTCACTTCCAATCCAGCTTTCTGGTGGTGGCCTGGGAAAGCAGTGGAAGATGGCCCAAGTGCTTGGCCTCTGCACTCCCACCCATGTGGGAGACCAGAGGAAGCTCCTGGATCCTGTCTTCAGTCTGGCCCAGCCCCGGTCATTGTGGTCATTTGGGGAATGAAACAGCAGATGAGCGATTTCTCTGTCTCTCTGTCTCTCCCTTTCTTCTCTGTAAGTCTGACTTTCAAATAAATAAATCAATTTTATGTGGGTGGCAGGAACCAAACTTGAGCCATCACCTGCTGCCTCCCAGGGTGCACGCATTTGCAGGAGGCTGGAATCAGGAATGGGGTCAGGACTTAAATCCAGGCACTCCAGTATGGGGTGTGAACTTCTTTTAAATTTTTTTTTTAAATTTATTTGACAGGTAGAGTTATAGACAGTAAGAGAGAGAGACAGAGAGAAAGGTCTTCGTTCCACTGGTTCACGCCCCAAATGGCCGCTATAGCCGGTGCTGTGCCGATCTGAAGCCAGGAGCCAGGAGCCAGGAGCCAGGTGCTTCCTCCTGGTCTCCCATGCGGGTACAGAGGCCCAAGCACCCAGGCCATCCTCCACTGCCCTCCTGGGCCACAGCAGAGAGCTGGAGTGGAAGAGGAGCAACCAGGACTAGAACCCGGAGCCCATATGGGATGCTGGCATCGTAGACAGAGGATTAACCAAGTGTACAAACTGCTACAGCTGGTGGAACCATTTGGAGTCATTTCAAATCATCTGATTCTAAATACAATTAATGAGGCATTTATTGAAATGGCAACCACAGAAGATGCTCAGGCTGCAGTGGACTATTATACAACCACACCAGCATTCGTATTTGGCAAGCCAGTTAGAGCTTATTTGTCCCAGAAGTACAAAAGAATAAAGAAACCTGAGGGAAAGCCGGATCAGAAATTTGACCAAAAGCAGGAGCTTGGCCGTGTGATACACCTCAGCAATTTGCCCCATTCTGACTGTTCTGATAGTGCTGTGCTCAAGCTTGCTGAACCTTATGGAAAAATAAAGAATTACATACTGCTGACGATGAAAAGTCAGGCCTTCATAGAGATGGAAACCAGAGAAGATGCGATGGCAATGGTTGACCATTGTTTGAAAAAGGCCCTTTGGTTCCAAGGGAGGTGTGTGAAGGCTGACCTGTCTGAGAAATATAAAAAACTGAGGATTCCCAACAGAGGCACTGACTTACCGAAAAAGGGTAAGTCTCAAAAAAGATCTTACTCTCCAGATGGCAAGAATCTCCAAGTGATAAGAAATCCAAAACAGATGGCTCTCAGAAGACTGGAAGTACAACCGAAGGTAAAGAACAAGAAGAGAAGTCAAGTGAAGATGGAGAGAAAGATACAAAGGATGACCAGACAGAGCAGGAACCTAATGTGCTTCTTGAATCTGAAGATGGACTACTTGTAGATGAAGCAGCAGCGGCAGCTCTACTAGAAAGTGGCAGTTCAGTGGGAGATGAGACCGATCTTGCTAACTTAGGTGACGTTGCTTCTGATGGGATAAAGGAACCTTCAGACAAAGCTGTGAAAAAAGATACAAGTGCTTCAACGGCAGCAAAGACAAAGCTTAAAAAGGTGGACAAGATCGAAAAACTTGATCAAGAAAATGAAGCAGCGTTGGAAAATGGAATTAAAAATGAGGAAAATGCAGAACCAGGTGCTGAATCTGCTGAGAATGCTGACGATCCCAGCAAAGACACAAGTGAAAATGCAGATGGCCAAAGTGATGAAAACAAGGACTATACAATCCCAGATGAGTACAGAATTGGACCATATCAGCCCAATGTTCCTGTTGGTATAGACTATGTGATACCTAAAACAGGGTTTTACTGTAAGCTGTGTTCACTCTTTTATACAAATGAAGAAATTGCAAAGAATACTCATTGTAACAGCCTTCCTCATTATCAGAAATTAAAGCAATTTATGAATAAATTGGCAGAAGAACACCGGCAGAAGAAGGAAGCTTAAGATGTTGAAGCAGCTTAATGATTTCAAAGAAAATAATGGTTCTTTG